ATTTGCTTCTTCACACAGTTTAAACACTTCTTCAGGAAGTGGACTCAGTCTCTCACTCCTCTACAGTGCTCACGCAGAACTCTGCAACGTCCTCTATTAAAGCATACAGTTTCAGTGCTGTGAATATGTTATCAAAGTACCTGAATTCCTCCTTAAATAGTCTCTTCCTCAAAGGCAGGGGCTGAGTTTTAATCTTCATATCTATGCTAGCACCAAGTATTTCCTAAAGCATAAATATACATTATTTAATCAATGAATGAAAATAAAATATAAAGATACTATATACAGTCTTTAATCAATCATTCTCAAGTTTAGCATTATACTTTTACTGAGCTAGCAAAGAAGCTAACAATTTACTTAAAATTAATATTTACTCAGCACCTTCTAATACAAAGAACTGTGGTTGGCACCAAGGCTACAAAATTTTCAAGGTCTGGGGGAGGGGGCAGGGCAGACAGTGGGAGGAGAAGGGGCAGATGCCGGGATTCGCTATGATACATGCTATAACAGCATCATAAACAGTCTTAAAGAAGAAGAAAGGGCAAGGGATTAATTCTGCTTCCATACAGAAAATATCAATGGAAAAAAGCCTTCACATACATTGAATACAAAAATGGATACAAAGCATTGCATAAGCTAACTTATGAAATAAATAAAGCAAAGTTCTCTTATTTAAATGTACATTTTCCCTTGTCTTATTGTTTGAAGTTATTTTTGAATAGATAATATATTCAAAAAATTCAAGAGTTATAAAAAAGTATCCATTAACCAATGAATTCTACAAATATTTATTTAGTAACTACCACGCACTGAAGAATAAAAACACCGGCAAAGGGATAAAGAAGGGAAATGGGGGTGGGGTGTGGTGTGCTATCTTTAACCAGATAAGGGATCATCTCACAAAATGATATGAGAACAGTGACCAACAGGAAGCAAGCACTGATTGGTCATTGAAGCAAAGAGCTTTCTAGATAAAAGGAATGGCTTGTACAAAGAATCTGAGCACGTCTGAAGTGTGTAAGGAACAGAATGAAGGCCAGGACTGCTGGAGAATAAATGAAAAGAACAGGAGCTGAGGAGGGACAGTCGGATTATGTAAGCCTTAGAGCCTTGATAAAGACATTTGATTTTGTTCCAAGTGTGATGGGACTGTACACAGAGAATTTGACTGGTCTTTGTCCCTGGTTCTTTAAAGCAAGCTTTTAGACCCTTGGAATTTCTGGAAGGGATAGGAGTATCTGTTATTTACTGTAGACCCTAAGACCACGCCTTATGCTTAGAGATGACTCAGGATGTGGGTCTGTCAAGCTAGAAAGTGGTATTAGGCAGGTAGACTGAGTTCAACCATGATTCAATCGATCATGCTCAAGTGGTGAAACTCCAATTAAAACTTCGAACACTAGGCCTCAGGGGAGCTTCCTGTGAGAGCCACATGTCCTGATTCCCTGGGAAGAGGACACGGAAACTCTGCGTTCAGGATCCTTCCAGACATCACTCTGTAGTCTCTTCACTGGATGGCCCTGATCTGTACTTTTTATAATAAAATTATAATCATAAGTATAATGCTTTCTTGAGTTTTGTGAATTGTTCCATTGAGTGAAGGGAGATTACGGGTTCTAAGACATCATGGGAATTCCCCTGAATTTGTACCCAGTTGGTCAGAAGTGTGCACAGACTGGGGGTCTCCCAAACTCGGAGGTGGTGTCTGTGTTGACTCTGGATGGTGTGCATCAGAATTGAATGCTTTTGAACTGTTGGAGAAGGCTCTTTGAGAGTCCCTTGGACTGCAGGGAAGTCCACCCAGTCCATCCTAAAGGAGATTAGTCCTGGGTATTCATTGGTAGGACTGATGTTGAAGCTGAAACTCCAATACTTTGGCCACCTGATGTGAAGAGCTGACTCATTTGAAAAGACCCTGATGCTGGGAAAGATTGAGGGCAGGAGAAGGGGACGACAGAGGATGAGATGGTTGGATGGCATCAATGACTGAACAGACATGGGTCTGGGTGAACTCTGGGAGTGGATAATGGACAGGGAGGCCTGGCATGCTGCAGTTCATGGGGTTGCAAAGAGTTGGACACAACTGAGAGACTGAACTGATACTGATACTGCAGATAAGAACTATACAAGCTGTGACATGATTTTGATACTCTATGTAGAAAACAGACTCTATGTAGAGAGAGACGAGAGCAGACAAGAGCAGACGGGTTAGGAGGCCACTGCAGTTAAGTGATGGTGGCTTTAGACTAGGGTGGATGTGATGGAGAGACCAAGGCATGATTTTATTCATTATGACTGTAGATGCTACTGTATTTGTTGGAGGGCTGGAGGTGGGATTTCTCAATGGCTGTTTAGTGCCTGATTCTACTACTGGGGTCTGTCACGTTTGATCTCCTGTTGACACTCAGGTTGTTTCTCATCCTCTCCCCTCCATTATAAACCATGCGATAATAAAGCTGCTTACAGAGAGACACTTAGGTGATGTAAAATCCTGCTGACAGACACTTAGGCTGTTTCTCACTCCCCCCCATCACAAGCAATGCTGCAATAAAGATGCTTATGCCCAACTACTGTACTCTTTGTGTGAGGATCTCTAGCTAGATCATTCACTGACAACAAACTCTGAACAAAACATAAAATTGGGGTGCCTTAATTTTGTGAACAGATCTATTTTTGCTTATATGTCCCAAATATTTCATTTTCTACTTAAAAGTTTCTTCTGCCCCGACCACAGAAACCTAGAAAGTTAAAATTGAAAGGATTCTTAGAGGTCCTCTAATTCAGTGGTTTTTACTGTGAATGTAACAGTAGATGACCAAAATCTTAGGGAGATCTTTTTGAACCACAGACCCTTTCCCTTTCTGATACACCCTGAGAAAGTGGGAGAACTGGCAAGTAGTGTCTAGGTGACTCTGATGATGATTCAGCCACTCTGAATGGCTATCCAGTCCAATCCCTGTATCCCAGATGAGGAAACTGAAACATCTATCCTATAGTGACAGAAGGAAAAGTAGGCCCTAATTGATTTTCAGGGCTGGCAGCAATGTCTGAGCATATCAATTTCTTCCAACCCTTGACAACAGAAGGTATAACCATCACATTTTGTATTTTTTCTAATTTATTAGACAAAAAAAAAAAAAAGTATCTCACCATTGTTTACAGGATGATTTACAACAGAGATTCATCTGAGCTATCTTAGAAGATGACAACTGGCATTACAAGAGAATCATTTGTTAGAAACAAAAAAAAAAAATCAATTTTTTGAAAACAGAGGCTGGTTTAGGTAACAAACTCTAAGCTCTCTAATTTCACTCAGCCAGGATCTTCCTTTACTTGCTCTCAATTCTACAGAAGACATATTTACTAACAGGATTTTCCTCACTGCTTTTGCTTGTAATGTAACCTACAGACCAAGAGGATTTTTAAAGGAAAACCAATGCATTTTACTGTTATTTTCCTTTCAGCTTAAGAAAATCATCTATTTCCCTGTTAAAATTAATATAACATAGTTTCTGAAAACTGTATCATTAAACAATATGACATAGTTTCTGAAAATTAAGTCCAAACAACACACACAAAACTGGCACAAAGACTTTAACAGGCTGTTCTAAGGAATTCTCACATATCACCTGCCTAACCCTAACACTACTACATGAGGAGAAGACCGCTCTGAGGCACAGGACGGTGAAACCGCCAAAGGTCACCAAAGCCGGTGAGGACCGCTCTGCCGGCAGAGCCGGGGTGTGAGCCCAGGCAACTGGACTCTGGAAGCAGTGCTTTACACCACGACCGTCGTTACAGCCTGGCCCTAACTGACCCTTCCGGTGTTTCCTCTTGTCAACCCTATTCGGACTTTCGGGAAGCGTCTTCCACCATCCACCTTCAGTCGAGCCACTTATTTGACCATACTCATTATCTTACAAACTCTATCCCTGTACTTTCCAAATTGTATTTAATTATATGTGCACATGTCTCTGTCCTTGACTAACCTACAACTCCTTGAAGGCAGGAACTGTGTTTTTTTCTGTCTTGAATCTCTAACACTTAAGCACAAAATCTGACACAGCAGAAACTCAACAGACATTTGCTGAATAAACACATGAATGTATACCTTCTGTGCTCCTGTATCAGAGAACAAGTTACTCTGTCTTTGCTAAGGCTGCTTTCTCTATCCCAAACAGCCTTTTTGCTATTCTGACGGGTAAACACCTAACTGTTTTTGAAGATTCATTACAAACGGATAGAGGAAAAAAAGAGGATAATAGGCCCAATTAAAAAATCATTTTTCCTTCTTTGACACCTCTTTCTTGCCTGTAAGAATTACTTCTTCCTCTGATTCCCCACAGCATTTTCATAAACACCTATTCTAACACTTTCTGAGCTCTGTTATCTTATTCCTGTTGATACGGAGTTCCTGCCATAGACTACGCACTCCTGAGTGCAGAGACAGTGTCTTGTTTACCTTTGTACTGTGTATCTCCAATGCTTAGCATCATGTCTGGCACACAACTGACCCTCAAAAAATATCTGTAGAATAAATGAAATGCTGAAACAACATTAAGGTACAAAGACTAGTTTTCATGAAGAAACAGCTGACCACCATTAAACAGATAGTAATACTGACTTTATCTAGGACAGCAGAAGAGCTTTTAGTGTTACTCTCTTCAGGATACTATAAAGCTTCAAAGGAACTCTCTTCACACAGAAAAAAGGGTGAAGCTGAATAAAAATGGATTATCTAATGATTAATGAGGATGAACTCATTATCTAAGCTATGATAAGCTAAACTTTAAAAATGGATCTCAATTTACTATAACTGTCAAAGCGTCTGTCCAAATGTTCCTGGGGGAAAGAATATAACTGTGCTGTATTTGAGTGGACATCAGAAAAAAAAAAAGCAGGTCAGTTACTTTCACTGAACTATTATAGAGTAGTCCCTTTAAAGACCTGTGATGACCTGAGCTGAATACTGGTGGTTTATTGTGACTGGTATGACTTACCTTAGAAACTCCTTGCTCTGTTCCCACAAATCCTGGGTCTCTTCTTTAGTCATATGCTTATCCAGGTTACATACATTAGGTTTCCGGGAATATAACTTAAGGCACTGCTTTACCCAGTGCCACTGGTAACCTGGGAGGAAGGGGTTTGAGATAAAAATAAATCCTATACAGAGATGGACAAGAGAAAAAGGAGAGGAGGAAATTCTCCATCAGTTAATCAGATCATTTATTTTTGTTGACAGCTTTACACCCCCTACTTTATTACTTATTCCACACCTCCTTTTGCTAATGCTTCCACACATAAACATAAGTTTTCATTCCTACACTCCAGTTTTAGAGGAAGAGGCGTTCCTTCAAGTTAATAAAAAGCTGTTTTGATGATGGTCACCAAACATCTATCACTATGCAATTATCTCTGGCTTTTTGAGTTATTCTCAAGAGAAAAAAGTGTTATAATTATTAATTGTGTTACCCCGAAGCAAACTTCAGAACTAAAACTGCCAAGTCACCCTTCAAATTTCAACAAGTATCATTTACAGAGGTGGAAGCTGCTTCCTGTAGTTACTATTTCTCTGATATCTCAGTGTTGCCTTTTTGCCTTTTCTGTTTTCTAATACCTGGCTAATTATTATTTTTTTAATATTATATTATCTCAGAACAATTGTTGTGATTTCTGCCTCTTTTGAACTCTGACTACTGTAACAGGGAAGAAAGACGGTATGGACATCTGTCCAGTATGCAAACACCTAGCCATCTCTCCTCTGTAAAAGAGGAGTTAACAATGCTAACTGGAGTCATGCATAGTTAACGATTCACTCATCAACGTTCAACACACATACACTGTATGGACTTTCTGAAGAATTAAAGACAGATGAAAAACTCTGTCCCAAGAAGCACCTGGAGACAGAGCAGTAGAGACAGTTATACAGATAATGCCTTTTAGAAGTCTGGCTGTGAAGGGAAACAAAGGCTGAGAAGGAGCCAGAGAAGAATAAGGGGAGAGTTTGGAGAGACCTACGCATGCTTACAGATGAGGAGCAAAGAGCCAGCAGAAAGGAACTGGCTGAATATAGGAGAGGGAAAAGGAACACAGGGAGGTCTTGAAAACTGGAAGGGGTAGAAGGCAGGATCAAAAGGTGAAGAGAGTGGTTCTGAACAGAAGGGATCTCTCTTCTTCCAAAATTCAGGACAGGAATAAACACTCACTTATAAGTGTGGAGGTCATTTTTGTATTTCATGTATAAGTCAAATTCTCCAAATAATTTAAGAATGATAGAACTGTTGATATTTTGGAGAAAAAAAAGATATGAGAAAAATTTCCAATGACTGTTATCACCACTACTTTACAAAATAAGAATATTATAATACTCCCAAAGATATCACATTAAACAAAGAATACTTCCGATCTAATTCAGGTTTGAGCAGTGACAGGAAATTGAACACTTTTATAGGCAGTTGGTTCCAGACAACTGCTGTCTTCCTTTTATGGAGTAAAAATTTGCCTAATTTTTATTTTTCATGCATTGGTCTTAGGTCCTGACATCTACAGCAACCCCAAATCAGTTTTCAACTCTTCTTGATAAATGCCTCTAACTATGTAGCTAACATTACTGAGCATTTACTGTGTGCCAGAAACTGACCTAAGTACTTTACATGTACACTCACATTGAATTCTATCCTTATAAAGTGGGTACTATCTTTCAACACATTTTACATATAAAGAAACTGAGGCCAAGAGAGATTAAGAAACTTGCTCAGGATCACACAGTAGGAAGTGGCAGAGCCGGGACATGAGCCCAGAGTCTGGTGTCAGACCTTAATCACTAGCATGCCCTGTTTTCCACCTGTTCCTATGCAGGATAACGTGTGATGTTATCACGGCCCCCCAGGTCTACCTGCCCAAGGCCCAGGATCTGGTCTTCAGATCATCACCCTCCTGCTCACTCCTGTAAGGACAGCTTGTGGTTTACTCAGGTCCCTTCAGAACATGCAGGGTCCTGAAGTAAACATAATCCTTCTGATCAAGTCAGAGTAAGGTGAGACTCGTTTCCCATGTTATGGACATTGTACTTCTTTTTTTTTTCTTTTTTTTTGGACATTGTACTTCTATTAAATGCAGCTTATATAATGGCAGGAAAGACAGAATAAAGTCTTTAAGGACATAATGAAGTACCAACTCAAATGATGTAGCTTAAGTGTGAAATCCCAGAAAACTTCAAATACCAAGCAGAGGCATACCTCACAGACACTTTGACCTTTAGACCACTGCAATAAAGCAAGTATTGCAAGTCACAAAATTTTTTGTTTCCCAGTGCAATAAAATTTACACTATACTGTACTCTATTTATGCAATAACATTGTGTCTAAAAACCGATGAACACACTTTACTTAAAAGTTTTATTTATTTGGATTATATAAAACAATGCTGAAAATCGCTAACCATCATCTGAGCCTTTAGTGAGCTGTAACCTTTTTGCTGGTGGAGGGGGTGAAATATTATGAGAATCACCAAAATGTGACAGAAACACAAAGTGAGCTAATGCTGTTGGAAAAAAAAAAGACTTGCTTAATCCAGGGTTGCCACAAAACTTCAGTTTGTAAAGATAAAACTTAATCCAGAGTTCCCACAAAACTTCAGTTTGTAAAGATAAAACTATCTGTAAAGCAAAATAAAATGAGGTATGCCTATATTCCAACACGGACAACAGAAAACCAAACTTTGTAGCCTGAACAATCTGGTAAACACGGCCATGAAGACAGGATCAAGGCCTGAAAGGTAAAGGGCCACCTTCAGGAATAAAAGGGGCACAAAACACTACTGATGACAAACGCTCATCTATTCAAACGCATGAAGAGCAGTGCTTTCATATGTAAAAGCCACCACTCAAGCCCTTCCTTGGTGACTTCAGACACAAAAGTGCATGTGGCCTTTTATAGAAGCATGAAAGTTGTTACCTCTTTCCATGATAGCAACATATACACTTCAGTGGTCATAATGTATTAACAGCTGTAACACAGACCTGGCTCTTGGAACAACAAAAAAACTAAATTTTTAAAGGAATTTCTCTTGCTTTTGACCTGCATTTGAAATCACAAGTGAAATGTTAACTTTATGTCTTTGAGGAACAGAAGGGAGATATAAGATCGTCTGGCCAAATAAGGCACTATATATTTTCTAAATGGTTCAAGATAATTAATCGACAATGGCCGCATGAGCCTAGAAAAAAGGTTACTAACATTACCCACTTTTCATTATTATCTTAATTTCTCTATCTGTAAAGTGAACTACCTGACATCACTGAAATTCAAAAATCTAGATTATTTCACCTTATAGGACTTTTGATTTCATTAACTGTAGTTCTCTATTCAAAAATTCAGTCTTGATAACAGCAACAGCTTTTAAGTTGTTACATCATTTGTGAATGTAGGGATTTTGTGACTGGAGTGAATGTGATGAGTTACTCTATCAATTCGAAGTGCTTCTTCGGTTCAGAGCTGTGGCAGGGAACCCAGAGTCAGGGTTCTAATCTTTGATTTGCACCTGGTTTGTCACTTCCTGCACTATAAGGCACGCATTACTGACTCCTGATCTATCCTATGAAAATGCCAAATAAATGGACATCTTAGACAAGGAAGAATTCAGGAGGGGTTTGGGAGTGAAACATTTGTACCTTTAGTTTTCTTCTTTGTCTATTTACTCCTTCTCCAAAATGAGACAAATGATTGAGTAATTTTTGCCTTCTAAGATCAACTGAACTCACCAGGATAGCCTTGGAGTCCGTAGGCTTGCCACTTGCTGACCGGCTGAAGTCCTGCTCTGAGTGCATCACAGTCACTGACTGAGGACAAATTCAGCTGAGATCTGACCACCTGACAGGAAGGAAACAGAAGTCAGCAGGCTAAAGCTATTTCACAGGTTAACTCTGAGAATCTCAAACCTCTAAACGCACTTCTGATGTGCAGCAGTTAGGAGTCTTAAGTCTGGGGTCCTAAATCAACCCTGAATATTTACTGGAAGGAATGATGCTAAAGCTGAAGCTCCAATACTTTGGCTGCCGGATGCCAAGAGCCGACTCAAGGGGGCAGCAGAGGATGAGACGGTTAGTAGCATCACTGACTCAATGCATAAGAATTTGAGCAAACTCCAGGAGGTGGTGGAAGACAGAGGAGCCTAGCATGCTGCTGTCCATGGGGCTGCAAAAAGTCGGACACAACTTAGCGACAGAACAACAACAAACTTAGTTCTACCATTTACTTGATGGAAGACTTAGATGAGCTATGTACTAATAAACACAACACAGCTATACAAAATTGAAGTCGTTATGAGGAGCTGACCTACTCTGGCCTTTAACACTATCTTCTCCTATGATACCACACCTTTGTGATTTTTTTTTTTTTTTTTGAGTTCCAAATTATGATTTTATTAGAAGCAGATGCCTTGAAACAGTTGAGAGGCTATAAAAATAAATGATTCAATGCTGAAATGTTTCCCAAATTAATTCAAATTGACATGAATAAAAATAAAACTATCCCAACAAATATGACAAATACCTCCAGTACACACCACCACTTGCTAGCTTTAAAAAATATACATCTGATACCTAACCTAAACAACTGCCCTACAATAAGAGCCTTAGCTCATTTAAACAGATTAAATTTTGTAAAAAGTTTTTTCTTGAGAATATGTTACTGTTCTAACATCTTAATAGTCAATTATAAGAATTAAACCTATTGACAGCTGCACTAAGCACTTCTACAAAAACATCAGTTAACTCATTAGCTATAACGACTCTGGGAAGGAAGAAGCTAGAAATATAAGTAAGCAGCAGGTCTTCCAACTCCACCTGTCCTCATACATCAGACCACAGCCACTTCTCTGGTGCAAACACATCAACACAGAATAAGCCTCTTACTTCACTCACGGTGCATACACGGATGGTGATAGGTAAAACTTGGAGAGCTCTTCTTAGACAACCATGAGATTATTTGCTGCTTCCATAACTTTCAATACCTTTTTGTAATGTCTAAGAGTTCATTTCCTTATCAGCCGTTTCTTTCTGCTTTTGTTTGGCAAGGTGATTGGCCAGGATTCCCTCCTGTAAGATTCTGGCATTCCATTCTCCAGAAAGCTGGTTCTGAGTGTCATGTCATTCTTCCATAACCTGGAGAGACACTGATTCAGATCATTTCTCAGTCTTCAGTTCCATCTAGTGCTCTGAGAGTGAGTTCAAGTTGCTGTTTCATTTCAGCTTCTTTACTATATTGGTCTTCCTTTCTTCTTAACTGCTCCCTAATTTTTTCATATAACATGTCAGCATTTCTTCTATTCTCTTCTTCTTGCTTTAAGGTCAATATTATTTCCATGAATTTCACACTCCACAATACTAACAACGTATTCTCCCCTCAAGCCAAGCGGTTCTACTTGCAACGTGGAAATCTTAGAGTAAAGACATCACCATCCTGGGAAGCACTTACAGATGACTAAGTTCAGTCATTCAGGTAGCTCACATCATTAATCTGTGCTCTGACCTGTGAATGGTTATTTTCATCTCCATCATAATTTTTCTTGTTCTTCCTCTCATATCAGTTCTAAGTCTAGTTCTGCTGACAAATCTCTAAGTTTTGTTAAAATTACCTTCTACTTGTCCATTTAATGTCTTTTTTCCTCTTTGGCCAGCAGCTCCAGATAAAGGATCCACATACTCCTGTGGAAGGCTCCCAGAGATACTCGCTCGCACACCCTCTGCGCGCCGCCGACCCTCTGTGATTTTTTTAAAATAAGATTCTGAATTATCAGAGGTGTTTGGTATATGGACTACCTTTGGTTAGGACTAACAATAATGCTTCTGAGGAACTTGAACCACGGTGTTTAAACAGGGCTTTGAGGAACACCAGGGTGGAGTGCTCTAGTCAGAAAAAAATCTTTCAATAAAACACTAGGAATTTTGTTTACTAAAAGCACCATAGTTGCTCTCTTTTAGATGAAACTTCTAACCGAAACTCCTAACTTTTTATTTTTGTGAATTACTTATAAATTAAACTTTTAAGGGACCTATGGAGGCTTCCTGGCATTTAAGAGTATCTTAAGAGACTTCTCTCGTGGTGCAGTTGTTAAGAGTCCGCCTGCCAACGCAGGGGACACACGTTCAATTGCTGGTCCGGGAAGATTCCACATGTCAGGAGGTAACTAAGTCCCTGAGCCACAACTGCTCAGCCCATCGCGTCCGAGCGCTCCGCTCCTCTCTCCGTACCTTGGGTGCACCAGGTCCCGTGCCGTGGGCTGCGTGGGACACCGAGAAGTCGATGACCCCTCCCAGATCTGCGGTTCCGGGGCGGCTCTGCCGGTAAAAGCGGAAAAGCTTCCTAAATGCATCCTCCCCAGGCTCAGCTGCCAGCGTCGCCACGGAGCCCAATGCCGCCGCCATCTTCCCCATCTCGTTGCCCAGCCCCCCTGACCCGGAAGCTGATTTCCATGTTCCGGATTAGGCAGGCTCTTCCGGGGTCGTGACCTCAGGTCACTAGAAGTTCCTCAGCCTAAAGATGGCGGCTTCTGCAGCGAGGGGCGCTATGGCGCTGCGTACAAATATCGGCCGGCCGGTTGCGTTTGTCAGAAAAATTCCCTGGACGGCGGCCTCAAGTGAGTTGGAAATGTAGTAGGGGCGGGCGGAATTTTTAGGTCCGAGCAATCCTGAAAAGCCTTGCTTGCTGCGAAGCACTTAAATCCGCGTGCTGGCTAGATTAAGGAGGCTGAGTGTGCTCTTGAGCAAGCCAGTGAGTAGAAAGAAATTTTGTCTGCAATTAGCCGTTTAAGGGATGCCTCTTGAGCTTTGGGGGCACCCATTCGCCGTTTCCAGCCTTTCGGAGTTTAAAGCTTTAATTACTTGGAAACAACATTCAGAAAACTAAGATCATGGCATCTGGTCCCATCACTTCATGGCAGATAGATGGGCAAACAGTGGAAACAGTGGCTGACTTTATTTATCTGGGCTCCAAAATCACTGCAGATGGCGATTGCAGCAATGAAATTAAAAGACGCTTGCTCCTTGGAAGAAAAGTTATAACCAAACTAGACAGCATATTGAAAAGCAGAGACATTACTTTGCCAAGAAAGGTTCGTCTAGTCAAGGCTATGGTTTTTTCAGTGGTCATGTATGGATGTGAGAGTTGGACTATAAAGAAAGCTGAGCACCGAAGAATTGATGCTTTTGAACTGTGGTGTTGGAGAAGACTCTTGGGAGTTCCTTGGACTACAGGGAGATCCAACCAGTCCATCCTAGCGGAGATCAGTCCTGGGTGTTCATTGGAAGGACTGATGTTGAAGCTGAAACTCCAGTACTGTGGCCACCTGATGCAAAGAGCTGACTCATCTGAAAAGACCCTGATGCTGGGAAAGACTGAGGGCAGGAGGAGAAAGGGACGACAGAAGAGGAGATGGTTGGATGGCATCATCGACTCGATGGACATGGGTTTGGGTGGACTCCGGCAGTTGGTGATGGACAGGGAGGTCTGGCGTGCTGCAGTCCATGGGGTCGCAAAGAGTCGGACACGACTGAGCGACTAAACTGAACTGAACTTGGAAACTGTTAAGATTTATGATTTAGAAGCAGTTGTTTTGATTGCAGTGTGGGGACGGATTCAGCGTGACAAGAGGTAATTTCAGTAGTTTAGTTCAAAAGTGAAGACTTCAGGGTAGTTATAGAAGGAGGGGGTCAGGTCCACTTATGTTAACCAAAGAATAATCAATAGATGTTGTGACAGCTTAAATGGGGAAGAGTACGGAATGGGGGAAAGGTAGGAATGACCTCCAGGTTTTTAATGTTGGTAAATTTGGTGATTAGAATGTAGGAGAAGCAGATCTAAAGAAGATGAGTAAAGTTTAAATGTGTTTAGTTTCAGAAACCTGTGAGTTCTCTGTTAGCTGGACAGGGGACGTTGTGTATAGATTGAGAAATGCACTCCGAAGTGGTTCTCCTTGGGTTAGAATTCCAACTTGGTCTTTAGGTAGTTGTGTAACCTAGTTCAATTCAGTTTAGTCGCTCAGTTGTGTTCAACTCTTTGCGACCCCATGGACTGCAGCACGCCAGGCCTCCCTGTCCATCACCAATTTCTGGAGTCTACTCAAACTCATGTCCATTGAGTCAATGATGCCATCCAACCACTTCATCCTTTGTCGTTCCCTTTTCCTCCCGCCTTCAATCTTTGCTAGCATCAGGGTCTTTTCTAATGAGTCAGTTCTTCTCATCAGGTGGCCAAAGTATTGAAGTTTCGGCTTCAGCATCAGTCCTTCCATTGAATATTCAGGACTCATTTCCTTTAGGATGGACTGGTTGGACCTCCTTGCAGTCCAAGGCACCCTCAAGAGTCTTTTCCAACACCACAGTTCAAAACCTAAGGTGTGTACCTAAGGGAATGTAATTGGGGGAAAAGGGCTTACCACTGTGCCTCAGTTTCATCAACCATAAAATGGAGTCAATAATACATTTCTCCTAGGGGTGTTGATTGTATTAAATGAATTTATATGTAAACACAAGTGCTTAGACTTGTACTCAATACAGGAAAGGTACTCAATAAATGATAATTGTTTTCATGATTACAAAAATTGAAGCTCATGGGAGAGGCTTAGGCTGGACATAGAGAGTTGGGGAGTGATCATACTGACTTCTGTTACCAACACTGCTTTTTGTCAACTGTAGTTTTGAGTTAAGGTTTTTACATTTGCTCACCAAAATGTAAAATCCATGGTCACTTTTGCAGATATTCTTGAGATTGAGATTTTATTTGGAAATCTCTAATATAGCTAACACACAGTATTGTGATTGTTTAACTGTTTCCTGTGTGATCATCTTACGGGGATTTTAATCCATGCATTTAGCATAGTACCTGGTATGGTGAAGACTCAGCACTTGCTGGGGATGAAGACTAAGTCAACTCAGCAGTTTATCTGTCCATGTCCCCCCACCCCAATACCTCCCCAAATCTGGTACATTATAGCTTTATTATTATTATTTTTTTTACATTACAGCTTTATAATCAATACCATAATGGTTTCCTGGATCTTAAAGCTGCAAGGAAATACAAACTAGCACTTGTTCACAAGGAGTTTGGGGGCTCTAGGACCCCTCTTGGTTTCTATCTGAATCTAGGATGGAGGATAAAACAATAACAACTTAAAAAATATGTTTTCTTTTCTTATACAGGTGAGCTGAGAGAACACTTTGCACAATTTGGCCATGTAAGAAAGTGCACTGTTCCTTTTGTGAGTATTATCTTTTTTTAAAAAAGCAATAATGTTTTCCTCTAATTTTTTGATTATTCTTTGTCAAAGCATATCAGTTTACATGAACTGGTAATGGAGTGAAGCTCTTCAGTCTTTGTTGATTAAATTATGGGTGGTACTGATTTAAAAAAACAAAACAAAAAGGCTTATCCTAGGTATTCGAGGCATTTGTGTTAGTTTTTTTTGTTGTTGCATAAAATTATCACAAATGTAATGGCTCAAAACAACACATACACATTATTTCACAGATTATAAAGATCAGGAGTCCAGGCATAGCTTTGCTAGGTCCTCTGTTCAGGGATTCACATAAGAGGCAATCAAGGTGTCTGTCAGCTGGAGAGGCTCAGCCGGGAAAGATTGATTTCCCAGCTCCCTCAGGTTTTGGTAGAATTCGTCTTTCAGCTGTAGGGCTGGGGTATCTGCATTCTTGCTGGCTTTCAGCTGGAGGCTGGTCTCAGGTCCTTGAAACTACCTGCAGTTGCTTGTTACCCAGCTTGTTACCTTGTTACATCCCTCTCATGTAGGCCCTCTCCCAACATGGCAGCTTGCTTCAGAGTCAGCATTGAGTTTCTCTAGTCTGCTGAGAGTTTTATAGTTTAGTCTTCAGAGGGACACCCCATCTTCCTGTTCAAGGGAGCAACATCCTGTCACTTTTGCTGTATTTCGGTTAGAAGCTTGTCATAGGTCCTGCCCATGTGCAGGGGGAGGGGATTATACAGGGGTAACATGGTGGAACACATGGAGGTCTTGGGGCCATTTTGGAATTTTGTCTATTACAGTAGTAAGGACTTTGAGAGAGTAGAGGATAAGTTATAAAACTTAACTGGTGGAGAAAATTTTAATCTCTACCCTCATTGAGTGTTTTGAATGTGCTAGGCTTTGGTTGCCTCACGGGCTTCTCTCCTCACTGCAGTGGCTTCTCATTTCGGAGCAGATTCCACAGCACGCGGGCTTCAGTAGTTGTGGCAGATGGGCTCAGCTGCGGCTCCTGGGCTTTGGAGCACAGGCTCAGTGGTTGTGGACAGGCTCAGTTGCCCCAGGGCATGTGGGATCTTCCCAGACAAAGGATCAGACCAGCTGTCCTGCCAGCGTTGGCAGGTGGTCTTTACCGTTGAGCCACCAGGGAAGCCCAGGCTGAGCGCTTTTGCCGTTCCTGTTTGTCACATTTTCTTTGCTTCCTCCTGAGGGTTTAAGAATCGACCCACGGTGATTCCCTGGCGGTCCAGTGGCTAGCACTCTGTTCTCTCACCTGCCAAGGGCGTGGGGTCAGTCTCTGGTTGGAGAACTGACATCCTGCAAAAACAGTTACGTAAATAAAGTAGTAGAGTTCTTTACTTAAAAAAGTCTTAAAAAAAATCACATAAATTTGTTCTTTATCCTAAGCTGTATTTTTCTGTGGACTTTCATAGATTATTGTGTTCTGGGGTGTGTGACATGAGTAGACTTAACAGTTTACACATGCTTCACTAAAATTGCTTTTTTCCTCATGGCACTGAAAAGGCTGTGGTAAAATATCAACTTTAAGTAACTTAAATTCTTAACTATTGGCTTAACGTTACTTGCCTACAAAGATCTAACAGGTTATGCATATCCAGCCCTAGTGAAGGTATAGGGAAACTGGTACTGAAAATGTTGAGTTTAACTGATACTGTCTCTGAAGGGTAATTTGGCAAAATCTGTCAACATTTTAAGATTTGCCTTTGACTCTAGAGAAAGCCTGTGTGCTGCCACAAAGACCCAGTGCAGCCAAAATAAAAAGTAGCAAAAAGAAAAGAGGAGAATTTGCTTTGATCTGGAGGTTCCATTTCTAGAGATAGATTTTACAGAAATGTGAGGTGAGGGATGTTCAGAACAGCATTGTTTAGTAATATAATTGGAAAGAAGGTAAGTGTTCATCAGTGGGGTTGGTTGAATAGATATTAATTCACTGATACAATGGCATTTTTATAGCTGATTAAAAGAACGAGGCATGTGTATTACAGACATGAAAATCAGTAAGCTTGAAAAAATAGTTTTACAAAGTGTATGAAGTTGGAGTTTTTTGAGGAATGTTAAAAAAAGTTTCTCCAAAAAGTAACATTTCTCTTGGTTGCCATTTACCTCTTAAAAGTATCAAGAATAATAACTTAGGACCTGGAGTTAACAGATTTTAAACAAGAGAGGTCTTTGATTCGTAGGAAAATTAATGTGTAATGTAACAGGAAAATATAGGGAAGCCAGAATCTGATGTATAGGTTGGATGATAAGCACTCCTGTCTTTTGCACAAAAGTAAGTAGTAGGATTGCTTAAATTAACCCAGAAGTCTAAATAGTTAAGTAAAGGTAACTTTTCCTTTTTCCTCAGGAGCAAGTGATGATAATGGTGATAGTTGTGATGAGGGTGATTAGTTTCAGAAATTACCATAAATGCACTTAGGTTTGAAGGCTTAATTTCCTAGTTTCTAGAAGTGAGTTAGAAACAGGAAGAGTACCTCTTGATCAAAATTTCCCTTGACTATTGCTGCTAGTGTGGTTTTTATCTCGAACAACACAGAAAGCACTTTACTCTTGTTTTAGAGAGCATGTTAAGATTGAGAGATTAAGCTTTGGGCAAATAAAAGAGTATTTGTATTAAAGCAGGGTTTTTGATACTTTTTAATTAAAATGTCTTGTATTCCATTTTGGCAGGTGAAAAAGTTGGTGGTTTGATTTGGAACACCTGGAAACTTTCTCAAGTTCATGCATGATTATTAATTTCTTCCTAAATTTTGAATTTTTAAGGACAAAGAGACTGGCTTTCACAAAGGTATGGGTTGGATTCACTTTTCTTCAGAAGAAGAACTTCACAATGCACTACAACAGGAAAATCATGTTATTGATGGAGTAAAGGTAAATATTTTTCTGTATCATATCATGTGAGTTTCCTGTATACCAGTTAAATAGGTCAGAAGTGTGAAATGACAAGGATTTTGGACAATTTGTAACTTAATGTTTGTTAAAGAATGGTGAAGGTGGGAGAGTTGCCAGTTCTAAAAGGTCTGGAGACTTAAGTACAAGAAGACACTTTAATAGTTAGCAAGATACATGGGACATGGAACAGTGGAAACAGCAGGGAGGATCTTGGTTGAAATACTGACTTTCCCACTTACTATGTGACCTTGAGAAGACTCTTTTGAGAGTCCCTTGGACTTCAAGGAGATCCAACCAGTCCATCCTAAAGGAAAGCAGTCCTGAATATTCATTGGAAGGACTGATGCTGAAGCTCCAATACTTTGGCCACCTGATGTGAAGAACTGACTCATTAGAAAAGACCCTGATGCTGGGAAAGGTTGAAGGCAGGAGAAGGGGACAACAGAGGATGAGATGGTTGGATGGCATCACTGACTGAATGGATATGAGTTTGAGCAAGCTCTGGGAGCTGGTGATGGACAGGGAACCCTGGTGTGCTGCAGTTCATGAGGTCGCAGAGTTGGACACGACTGAGCTTAACTGAACTAAACTGATGTGACCTTGGGCCAGACTGATTTACAATTTTTAATGGGAGTTCAGGGAGCCTTAAGTACAAGGAACAAATAACATCCTTTGGCTCACTGGTGCTGATCCCTCATACAACAGCAGTTTTCAGTTTTAATGTTTTTGCAGACATTGACTTTCCTTATAGTGCTGAATTTTTTGTTTTCCCTCAGCTCCATGTTCAACCTCAAAAACCCAAAGCTTTACAAGGAGACCAAACATCTGATGAAGAGAAAGATTTTTGAGATCCTCACTGCCTACTGAATAAAGTAAATAAAAGAAGTTTTGTCTAAATGTTTTTATTTGAAACAAATAGTTGCACCAAGCAAGAGCTTACTTTCCCCACTCCAAATTAACAGAGTACAACAGGGGCAAACATCATTTGGCAGGACAGTTCCAATATGTGAACATCCTTCTTTCTACTTGCTATGACTGGGGTCACTTTATTCATAAGCAGTCATTTTTAGACAAAATATTAACCCCAAAGTACTAATGTCACTTGAAAGGAAGTGGCCTTAATTTTATGTGTGGGGCAGTATTTTCTATAAATGCCAAAAGGTGGGAGAAGCACAAACACAACCCATTTTTAAAAAAACTAAATAATTCAAAGTAGAACTTTTCCATACCCCCCTCCCTCTCCTGTAATAAAAAGTAGTGCTGGGCTCTGACACCCAGATTTGGTTTTTATCCTGGCCATGTACAAAGTGTTCCCCATATGACTTGCATCATTAGGGTTATCAATAACAGTTCATTCACTCTGAACAAAGTATCTACTCCTTCCTCCTCTTCTTGCCTTCATGCTCATGTTCCTTGGGACGGCTGCTATCTGAGGGTCTTTTAGAGCCACCGTGTTGCTTGGCTTCTTCCAAAAATTTGTCCAAACCGAAAGGATCCTCCTCAAACTGAACCGGTCCTTCTCGGCCTCTTTGTCTACGGTCTGAACCTGAAAACTCCTTATCGGGAACAAACCTAGGGAAAAAGAGAAATGACTATGAACCACTTTATTTTCACTGGCGTAGATGTTAAAACTGAGCGGTCAGCCCTGGTACCTGTTAGTCTTTATTCTGGCTTCTAGGTCATCTCCATACATGTCCTTGTCCAGATTTTTACTGGGCCTGTAAATATTCTGGACCATATCTTTTCCACCTCTCCAGGCTTGGTCATAAACATTGTAAATTTCATCTTCTCCATCTGCAAAACCACTGTCCATACCCTGTGGAAAAATAGACATTAAAAGTGTACATGTTTTTATTAAAAGTTGAATTGGATTACATTCTTAGGAAGAGTAAACCCTTGCTCATTTACAACTTACTTGTTCAACAATCTCAACTACAAATTAAAAAGGTTATTAAAAAATGGTCACAGGAGGGGATATAAGTATACCTATGGCTGATTCACGTTGAGGTCTGACAGAAAACAAAAGTCTGTAAAGCAATTATCCTTCAATTAAAAAAAAAAAAACAATGGTCACAGTCATTCTTTTTTCTTCATATCACCTTTGGGTCCTTACATTAAATATGGTACTCATTAACAACTGTTTTAGCAAAGTGGTCTTTAAAAGTGGAGGATACTAGTATAAGCAGGCACTTGACAATCCACTTGTGCAGACACAGTGGCAAGATCAAAGAACTGCAAGCATTTTATCTGACGCCATTTACAGTAATAATGTTAAACCCCTTAACTGTGTGAGAACACTGTTTAAGCATAATACAATTAATATTCTCAATGAAAATCTCAAGTCAACAAACTTGTTTTGTGATGGTTCATTAATGTAAGAATGTGCCTTTTGATAAAACTTTTCATCACAACTTTTATTTTTTTTGGTTTCAAAGGCAGACTTTGTTATTCATGAAACAGTCTCCTGGGGTGTGAGGGGTCATGGTCTCTGTTGGACTATGGTTATGACCTAGAAACGGGAAGCCAGCCCCTGACTCAGCTGGTGCAGGGTCAGGGCGAGGACCTGGGTTCTCCTGATGTGGTTACAGTCGTGCTAGGGGGTGTGTGTACCCTGTCACCCCCCTGGTGGGTCTGTGAGTCTGTCCTGCTATGACTCAGATACCATGCTCTCAGCATGTTTGCTGGAACAATCCGCAGGGTGACTCCCAGCCTTGCAGGGGGTGATGGGACACCTCTATATCCCAGTAGACATTTATACTTCTGTATTCTTAGCACAGTCCACCTTGTCTTTATTTATATATACATATCTGTCTTTTCCAGAAGACTTGCAGGTTCCTTGAGTGTTAAGACACCTTTGATCGCACTGTAAATAATCAATGCTGGGTGAATTAAAACAAAGGCACTTCCTCAGGCCTAAGGTGTTCTAGCTAGTTAATGACAACTAATACTAGAAATCAGACTTTCTGATGAGTACTTTGGTTTTATAGCTTCATTTTTCAAAGATCCCAAATTTGTGTTTTTATAGCATTAAAAAAATTATTTTTGCAAATATCCACAAAAAATAACCCAAGAGACACTTTTATAGGACACTGGCTTTATCCCAGAAATGAAAGAGTCACATACCAGAACCAAGTTTTACCACCTAATTTCTTTCATTTTCTAACAGTGTCTCAAATCCCAGCCAACTCTAAGAGCTATTCTAACTTGTTTCTTAAGTTACAATATGCAACTTCTAATTTTTTTTCCCATCACACCAGCATACCTTAGGTTGATGCAAATGTTTCATATGCTAATTTTCTTTTCCCTGAAGACTGTATTCGTATCAACACTTAAGGGATGCTATTTCTAGACTGTGTACCTTGGACTGGTTGAAGAGCCTTTGGTCATACTGAACTTCATTGGAAGTCCGAGGGTTGGGCACACCAAGAGCAATGACTTCACTGATGTCTCGATTTTCATTTCTCTGCAGTTTCGACCTGTTTTGAAATACCATGCTGCAAATTGAAACTTCTTCACAGACAAGCTGAATTTCAACTTCAGTACAACCATTATCAGAAGCAGAGGAAACAAATATGTCCAGTTCACATCTTATGAACCCATATATTCCTTGATAAGGCATAATTAGGATGGCATTTCTTACAGTATTTCAGATACATGATTATTGGAAGAGATAAGGTTTTATAATTAGGCATTCCTGATACAGAAAAGAACTGCTCAGAGACTTTTTTTTCCCTTGAGGAAAATTTAGGACTACAACATTATAATTTGACATCTGTAAACACTACACAAAGTCATTACCACCAAAGTCTAGTTACTGTCAATCACCATATAAGTGACCTCCTTCACCCATTTCACTAATTCCTCAACCCCCTTCTCTGGTAACCAGCAATCTGTTCTATGAATTTTTGTTTGTTTTGTTTTTTGTAGATTTCACGTAAGTGAAATCACACCCTGTTTCTCTTTCTCTGACTTATTTCACTTAGCATAATACCCTCAAGGTTCACCCAGGTTATCACAGACAGCAAGATTTCGCTTTTATGGCTGAGTTCTATTCTAGTGTGTACACACACACACACACACACACACACATCCCTTTATCTGTTTATGGGTACTTAGCCTGCTTCCACATCTTGAGTACTATAAATAATGCTGCAGTGATCATAGGGATGCATATACTTTTTGAATTAGTGTTTCATATTCTTTGGATAAATACCCAGAAGTGGAAAAGCTGGATCATATGGCAGTTTTATTAATCTATTGAGGAATCTCCATAGTGTTTTCCATATTGACTGCACCAATTTATACTCCCACCAACAGTGCATGAGGGTTCCCTTTTCTCTACATCCTCTCCAATGCTTGCTATTTCTTGTCTTTCTGATAACAGCCATTCTAACAGGTGTGTGGTTTTGATCTGCATTTCTCATAATTAGTGATGTTGATTATTTTTTCATGTGCCTGTTGACCATTTGCATGTCGTCTTTGGAAAAATGTCTATTCAGATCCTCTGCCCATTTAACTGGGTCGTTTTTAGTTGAGCTGTAGGAGTTCTTTCTATAGCTTGGATATTAACCTCCTGTCAAATATATGATTTGCAAGTATCTTCTCCCCCTCAGTAGGCTGCCTGTTCATTCTGATGATGGCTTCCTTCACCATGTGAAGTCTTTAGTCTGATACAGTCCCATTTGTTTATTTCTTTGTTTCCTTTGCCTTTGGAGTAAGAGTCACAAAATCACTGCTAAGACCAGTGTCAAAGGGCTTACTACCTATGTGTTCTAGGAATTTTGTGGTTTAAGGTCTTACATTCAAACCTTTAATTGATTTTGAGTTAGTTTTTGTGCATGGTATAAGGTTTTCCTTCTTTTGCATGTAGCCGTCCAGTTTTTCCAACACCACCTACAGAAGAGGATGTCCTTTCTCAAAAGAATCATTCTTAATACACGCAATCTTCTTGTAACACATGTTGAGATATGAAACTGCTATATGGTCTGTATCTGCTATTATAATAAAGGGTTGGGGGACTGGATGCAAATTAGGTATATCACATGAATCACTTTCAATTTTTACCTAACAACATTTAGTAATTTTATCCTATTAGAATTTTGAGAAAAATATGTCTAATGACTGGATTACTCAGTATGATGTTTGACATTCAGATGAACTTAATTCCTCTGCTGTTTTGGTATGTATGTAATCTACATCACAATGATACCACGATAACTGTCTCGTCATTTACTTTACTAGAGGTTCAGGTCTTAAAATGATTTCTATAGACAATCTAATTTTCATCCAAGCACAAGTTTAAAGCTTTTCTATTTTATCAATTCTCAGTTACTTTACTGGTTTTAAGGACTCTATTCATCTACAGAGCCATTTTGATATCTACAGCTTAGGGATTTCAGACTGAGAGTATCATTAACTGTGTACGTTCACATTTCATTCCTTTCTGTTCTGTACTGTACATTTAAACTCTAAATTCAGATTTTCTGCTTTTCCAAGACTTCACTTACTCAAGGAGATGAAATATGCCATTAAACAACAAAGAATACCACCAGCAGGAATCTGTTTAAGATATGACCTTAAAAAACAGATTGTATCAGCTCACAGGAGGATGAGAGCATGCAAAACTGCTCATTTGGAAAGAAAATGTTTTACATTTGCATTTAAGCCTCACTCAGAATTCCACCTCTTGTATTACAGCAGTTCTTCAACTTTTCATCAATTTCAGTCCTCGGCCTTTGGCGAACCACAAACTTCACAAATCCATCTCTACTTTATTCCAAGTGTTCATACATGTATTTCCTTTGTTAAGTCTGTACTTATTAAGAGTGTTCTGTCAGTTTTCCCATGTAATTTCATATGATAGCTCTATCTTTCTGAATTTTAAGTGAAACTGCTCATGAAAAGTGGAGAAGGCAATGGCACCCCACTCCAGTACTCTTGCCTGGAAAATCCCATGGACGGAGGAGCCTGGTAGGCTGCAGTCCGTGGCGTCGCTCAGAGTCGGACACGACTGAGCGACTGCACTTTCACTTTTCACTTTCATGCATGGGAGAAGGAAATGGCAACCCACCCTAGTGTTCTTGCCTGGAGAATCCCAGGGACAGCAGAGCCTGGTGGGCTGCCATCTATGGGGTCGCACAGAGTCGGACACGAATGAAGCGACTTAGCAGCAGCAGCAGCAGCTCATGAAAAGAGGCTGACTTTAACTTCTTACAAAAGCTGCTCTTCTCCCCCACTGTACTCACTCAGTACAGTATTCTGCATGTTCGGACCTCAATAAAGGTCCAGCAGCTTATTTCCTGTCTAGAGGAGCAGGCACAGGATAAATCAACCTGTCTCACTGTTTGAAGCAGGAAAAGAACAGACCAGAACAGGCATATCCATTACTTTCTTCTTCATAAATATGATCTGAATTCCCTTTTTGTGTATCCCCATCCTTCTCAACCCTAGCTGACAATACAAGGTAATGTAAGAAAAGCTCACTTTCAGGCACAGTCAGTCCTGCTAAAGCAGACTAAGCTGTTTAGGGCAAGAAAATAGGTGCTAGTTTATGAAGCTATCAACCTGAAGCAGAAGGAGAGAAGCAAAACTGGTTTCAGTGGACTAACACTCCTCTCCAGAAGGCTCACAAAGGCCACTCTTCCCAATTCACACTGACCTCAGAGAGCACCTACCTCTTGTCTGGAGCTGCCCTGGAGAGGTTCCGGTCATGCTGTCTCTCCTTTCTCCGGTCATGCCGGATTTCATCCCTCTCACGTGCCTCCCCGTCCTCTGTGGACACAGGTGAAAATGACTTTATCACTATATTTATCACTATTAATATTCTGAACAAGAGAATATTTCTATGTGTTTTAAAATTTTCATAATAAAATGCCAGAAAAAAGAATTTGCAAAGTTCATCCTTATATTTTCAAAGTCTTACTTCAAATAAAGAACCTTTTACTCATGATACACTGGGGCTTGTTGCACTTAATCTCATCTACTGTGTCTGTATCTATCTTCATTTTCTCTACCCTCTCCAGGCTGAAGGGATATAGTGCAGATATAGAAGGAATATAGTATAGACCTTGAGCTTTGGAGTCAGATTGTCTGGGTTCAAATCCTGTTTCTATGACAGATCAACAATGTGAAATTATACCCATTACTTGACCCCTCTCAGCCTTTGTCACCTCCTCTGTAAAACAGTCACAATAACAGAACCACTGCATAGGGCTGCTGTAGGGATTATATAAAGTAATATAGTACTCAGAGAGGTACCTGCCATAATAAGCACTTAATAAATAGTGTAAGTTTTTATTAATATTTGGCAAGAGGATTTTTAAAAATTTTAACTAACTTCTCAAGAACCATCTTTTTTTTTTAAATCAGTTTAGAGAACTTAGATACAGAGAGGTTTTACTCTGAGTTATCTTCAGTGGCTAGGTTACAACAGGTAGGTTTTTTTATATTGTGCCCCATTAAGACATTTATATATACATATGCAAGGAAGTGGGTTACTAGCCAGAATCTTCATTACTTCCCTTCAACTCTAGACTCCTATAACCAATTGCCTGCTTGACACCTCCATTTTATTTTATTTTTTCCATTTTTTTGTATTACTTGGAGGCTAATTACTTTACAATATTGTAGTGGTTTTTGCCATACATTGACATGAATCAGCCATGGATTTGCATGTGTTCCCCATCCTGATCCCCCCTCCCACCTCCCTCCCCATCCCATCCCTCTGGGTCTTTCCAGTGCACCAGCCCTGAGCACTTGTCTCATGCATCCAACCTGGACCGGTGATCTGTTTCACCCTTGATAGTATACATGTCTCGATGCTGTTCTCTCAGAACATCCCACCCTCGCCTTCTCCCACAGAGTCCAAGAGTCTGTTCTGTACATCTGTGACACCTCCATTTTAAACTTAACATGTCCACAACTAAATTCCTAATCTTTCCCTCCCAAATCTCTCCGCAGTGCAGTCTTACCAATATTAGTAGATAGCAATTCAATCCTTCTCAACTGTTTAGGTCAAAAGTTCTGGAGTCACCTTTGACTCCTTTTCTCTCCTGCCGAATCCATAAGCAAATTTTGTCAGCTCTACTTTCAAATCACACCTGGTACCTGACGTATTTTCACTACCTACCTCCTGCTATTATCTCTTATCTGGATTATTGCAATAGCTTTCCAATGGTGTTCCTGCTCCTCCAAATAACCATTCCATTGCCTTCTAACATATGCAAGATCATGTCATCCTGCTCTAGACTCTTCAAATTGCTTCCCTTGTTACTTGAAGTAAAAGCTATAAAAAGCACACAAGATCTGGCCACTTTGCCCTAACTACTCTGACACCTCATCTCCTCTACTTAGCTTTCTAGGTCTAATCCAGCCATCCTGGCCTCCTGCTTTTCCTTGAACACACCAGATACTGCTCCTTCTGTCTGGGATGCTCTTCCCTTAGGTATCCACATGGCTCACTTCCTTACTTTCTTCAAGTGATTTTTGTTAAAGTTACCATCTCGAAAGTAAGGTCTATTCTGACCACTCCTTCCTTCTGGCACTTTTACATACTCCTCTTTTTTTTCCCTCATAGTGACTATTATCTTCTAATACACTATATGATTAATGTTTTTTTGGTCTGTCTACATTCCCTAAAATGTTCACTGCTATATCCCCGACCTGACTAGCAGAAAACTTTGTGTTTAGATGAAATCCTTGCACCTAGTAGGTGCTCAACATGAACTGAATGAGTAAGTATATTAGATGAGGAATTATTACTGAAAGGAAAACCACCCTCATAATTTTCTTGAATTAAAATTAGTCTTCTCACTCTAATTAATATAGCACATATACCACAATATTTATGCAGATCACTAAATAGAGCGAGAGAGAAAATGATTAAAGGCCTGAAAGAAAAACTGTGGATTAAGTTTACCGTTGGGTGAGCTGAATTGTTCAGTTTGTGATCTCTTCTCTAAGTTTCCAGAAAAGAGAAAATTAAGGCTATCATTTGAATAATATGTGATTTTTATAAGTATTCTGCTCAGAATTTTAAAAATTTCTGGTGTACTCACATATTAAAGGCCCACATTTAAATACACATTCTTTATTTTCTATTACTTCCACTTAATGAGGCAGAAATTACTATTTCATTTCTACATTATTTCTGAAGTATCTACATTTTCTTTACATGTATGTACAACTTCTGCATGCAGTTCAAAAAACAGCTGAGATTTTCTAAATTGAGATAAATATTATTCATAAAGTAAATTCAATTTAGTAACGAGTATGTCAGGGCTTCCCTGGTGGTAAAGAATCACCTGCCAATGCAAGAGACTCAGGTTTGATCCCTGGGGTGGGAAGATCCCCTGCAGAAGGAAATGGCAACCCACTCCAGTTTTCTTGCCTGGGAAATACCATGGACAGAGGAGCCCGGTGGGCTACTTACTGTACATGGGATCACAAAGAGTTGGACATGACTTAGCAACTAAACAACAATGAGTATGTTATACCTTTTTCCACATGGGTTTTGATCCCAGCTCTTCTCTCTCTGGCTTTCTGGGCCATTTCTCTAAGTTTCTCTTCATGTTTTTCCTTTTCTTTTTGAGCCATCTTTCTCTCTACTTGAGCACGCATTTCCACCGCTTCACGAGCCTGTAAGTGAAGTTAGATGTTAAATAAGATACTATCAGGGATAAAGAATTACAGCTGTCATTTAATTTCCTGACTAAACTCTGGCTTGAAAGAACAGTTAGAAGAATTCACATTTGTTACTGCTAATTAAAACAAAGATTCTTGTCTACAAAAGATAACTCGCCTAGATGACACTGCAAACAGTTTTTTCACTCTGACTCCAATCAATCTTTTAAGTCAGTGTTTCATTAATGCTTTTTCACTATTTCATTTTAGAAACAATCTAAAAAATAAAATTAAACAAGCAATAAAGCAATTTTCAATATCAATAACAGGAACTGGTACTGTTTTCAAAATCAATCAGATCAACTCAAGATATAGCCTTAGTATAGATGAGCAAGAAATAATTTACCTAAGGGTGCTCACTGTGACACAGAAGGTATACTTGTGTATATTCTACGCCCACACCCTGATGCATGTAAACTTAAAAGACACATATTAATACCATAATATTAACAGGCAGTCAATACTATGAATGTCATTTTTTGTAGCATTCAATACATCAGTATGTTTATTTTCCATTCCATGCCACTGATCTTTTGGAAGACAAAGAGAAATAGGGAAAAATTATGAAACCCAGGAAGAGTAGGTGCCAACCTTCTCAAAATGGGATCAGTCTAGTGCAGCACCATTATTCTAGAATGTTGTGGGGAAGGTGAATCACCACTGGTGAGGTATGTATATGAGTCTACAAAGGCCAAGACTGGTCAGAACCGCCACCAGCACATGTCATCTCTGGAACACACACCACAGGCGAAAGCCTCTTTGGGTACTCAGCAATGAAGCCCAAATAACAGTGTCTTAGGTAATTCTGAACAGATTTACAAATTATCAAGAGCATTAAACAACTTAATTACAACAGACCAACCTTTCGATCAGCAATGTAGAGGGCTTCGGCCAGTTTTGCAAAATTTTCATTGATGTGAACTGTTTGCAGCCCTCTTCCATCGGCAGCCAGACGTTTATCTAATGGAATTGTATAACCCTAGCACGAAAGCAGGCAAAAAACACTGGTCACCAAAGAACAACAACAGAGTCTTTAAAACTGGATTTATATATGTCCATTTTGACAACCATTTTAAGCTCTTTCTCCTTACATCTCTTTTCATAATTAAGCCACAGCAGTAGCAGCTACTGAGGGCTTGGTGTGGAGGACTGTTAAAGCACTTAATATTTATGGCCTCATTTATCCTTCACAGCAATTCTATAAGGCTGGTAACATTATTATTTCCATTTCACAGATGAAGACACTGAGGTAGAAAGCCTAGGTAATGTCCCCAAGGTCATACACTTAACAAGCAGAAGAACTAGCATTTCAGAGTACAAGCTCTGGGAAAACAGATTCTCATGTTAAATTTTGGGTTATAATAAAAGGAAGTCACTATCAAATAGCTAAATAGTTGCTCATCAAATAAATATAACAGTTATACAAAGGTAGAAGAAAGCACTAAAATCATAGTGTCTATAGGTAACTTAATCTGCTGCACTGATTTCACGACTTATCAGATTCGTGGAACTCGACACATTTTAGTAAACAGAAAAAAAATAAAAGTCTGCTAGACAAATAAGATTCGTGTTTTGAAATTCTGCATCCTATTTCAACAACTCAAGGAATATGCCTGAACGTTTATGTAACTTCCATGCTTAGCTTTCTTCTTTCAGACTTTTGATGAGACTGCTAAATAATGATCTCCTGCCCATGGTCTTTATTCCTAATTCAAGGAGTGTTACAGACAGCTCAAGATACCTCAGTTATACATGTCTATATATATGTATGGTATACCAAACCAGACTACTCAACAATCCTCTTGTTTCAGGATGAGTGTATAACTTATTTTTGGCTGTGCTGCAAGGCTTGTGGGCTGGATCTTAGTTACCCAAGCAGGGATCAAACTGGTCCCTTGGCAGTGAAAGCACCGAGTCTTAACCACTAGACTGCCAGGGAATTCTCTAAATTCCTTTAAGGAATAATTTGTATTTAAATCAAGGATTGACGTGGTCTTTTTCACCCATGAAATATTTGGGAGGAAAAGGAAATAGTGGTTATGAAACTTATTTCACAGTATTTTACAGATTATTCATGACTCCTTTGGTGATTAGTAGATATACATAGGGTTTAAATAATTTATGCATGCATTGTTATAAACAGAAATAAATAATTAAAAAATGAAAGCACTGAATATATCCAAACATTTATTTTGTTTTGTCATATGATTATTTAAATTGATTTAAATCCTTTCAGGAAGAATTTCAGATACAAATTTAAGTTTTCTAAAAAATAGTATCTTTCACTGAAATGTTACTTCATTCTACCCATTCCTTCTCTATGTGTTTCCAATAACTATATTTTACCAGGAGAATCTACATGGAACTCATGTGCCTGGAACACTAACATTTCTAATACATTAACATAAAAAGAAAAAAGTCATATAAGTTGAGTGTTCTTTCTGGAAAACCTTCAGCTATATGAGATGCTGAGGTTTCATCTAAAGTAACCCAGGCTGAAGGTTCTTCCTGGGTGTTTTTCAGGAGGTTCTAACACTAGATACTGAATTTATGACAAGTTAATTACCTTTGCATTTTTCCAGTTTGAAATACAGGGAGGAATCTTCCACTCTTGCTGCTCCTTCACGGTCATCTGTGTTGAGAAAAGAGAGGAAGAAGAGACATTTTTAAGATTTATAGTCTAGCAAAAAACTAAGTGCAACCTTTTTCTTCAAAGATAGTTCAATATACACTGACTTAATCAAAGGTCCTAATTCCATTTATTTAGTGCATTATATACTATATTCCCACATCATGGTTTCTAGTAATAAATTTAATATAAAACATGGAATATAATCTATTTTTGACACTTACAAATGCTGGTTAGTACTTTTACATATTTAAACTGATGTGAATACTTCCAGATGAAAACTTTTTCTTTTAGTGGGGTAATAAAAATATACCTTAAAAAAAGTCACTTAAACTATCAATTATAGACCTGATAATCCCAGGAACTTACTTCCTACAACTATGATAACATCTTTTCAAACAGCAGACCTTTTTCATTCCATTAAAAGCAGGGGTTAGGTTATTAATCATAAAGCTAACAGCTAACATTTTACATACATTCTCATACTATAGAACCACATGTTACAGTCTTGAGTGGGTCCCTATCTGTGATCTTGAAAAACAAGTTAAAGAAACAATATGTTTGGTGAAAATAATATAGGCATCTAGAATTTATTCTATATGGGGTTATTTATAAATTAATAATCATGAGTACAAAAAGAGATTTTTAAACTAGAGCAAAGACTACCTTTCGGCTAGGAGAATGCATGACAGGTGCAGGAGGAGAAGGTGGTCCCCGAGGAATTTTCTTATTAATCCTGAAGGATAAACCAAAGCACAATCACAGAATGATATACATTTTTTCTTTTTAGTCAGTAAGTCAGGTCTTCCCGCCTCATTTTTTATTACGTAAAGCTTCAAACAGACACAAAAACAAGAGTGTATATTGAGTGTCCATCTATTATACAGTAATGTATTGAGAAGCTAAAGCAGGTGTATTCAATCAAGAATGTGCAGATTAAGACCTGCTGAAAAAGGGGCACAAGCCACCCACACAGGGTCCTCAGATAGCCCTCTCAGCATCTAAGCTCCCACCCTGGAGAAGTGAAACCCAACTGGGTCATTTCGATTTGAGGTGCAATTTTATTTTTTAATATATCCACACGATGAAGCACAGTCACAAGATTTATTATTACTTAAAGACCCCAGAAGTGAGGAGTGAGGAGATAGCAAAGAACTAGAGAAGAACAATCCTCTGTCCTAGGCCACAAGTGAGCAGCAGGCAGAGAGGAGGGTAGTAATACCTAGGTGGCTGGGACAGAGGAGTCTAACTTTTCCTGGGACTTAACTCTAAGTGGTTGCAGTCGTCCCCTGATATCCAAGGACTGGTTCCTGGACATCAAGGATACCAAAACCCATGAATGCTTAAGTGCCCTAAACAAAATGGAGTAGGATCTCCATATAAACTATACACATTCTTCCTTATACTTTAAATCATTTCTATATTATATCTAATACAATGTAAATGTTGTATAAATAGTTGTGGTGGGCATGACATTTAAGTTTTGTTTATAAGAACTTGGTGGAATTTTCTTTTTTTCCTTTTTGCTATGCCATGTGGCATGTAGAATCTTAGTTTCCCAACCAGGGATCGAACTCTTGTCCCCTGCAATAGAAGCACAGAGTCCTAACCACTGGACTCCCAGGGAAAACTCTCCTGACTATTTTCAATCTGCAGTTGGTTTAATTTGCAGATGCAGAACCTGTGGACATGAAGAGCCAACTATATTTTAAAATGTTCCCTGGGAAAGGCAAGGTGGGAACTTATGACTGGCATCCTAAATCCAAGTCCTAATTTAAATGTCCAGTTTCTATGGGAGTATTGTCATCATACTGCAACATGCCCAGGCAGCAACTTGGGGGCAAAAAGCTGTTTTCCTCAAAAGTTGTTTTCTTATCACAACCACTCAGTTTCAACAATTATTAAAACACAGCCAACTCTGTCATCACCATCACTACCCACTTCACGTCCACCGTATTATCATTTCATCAAATAATAATATTTTGCCTTCTTAAAAAAACAGCTTTATTGAGGCACAACTCATGTACAACTAACTATACGTAAAATGTACAATCTGATTAACTTTTGACACAAGTAAACACAATTTACTTGCGTGAGATCATCATCACAGTTAAAATACTGAACATACCCATCACCTCCAAGTTTCTGCATGCCCCTTTGCCTATGTCTCTTTTTCCTCTCGTCTCCTATCCATACTCCCTCCCTTCTCACAGGAACCACTGATCTACTTCCTGTCATTATAGATTAGTCTGCATTTTCTAGAGTTTTATATAAAAGGAATCATACAGCATGTACTTGTTTTTGTCTAGCTTCTCACCATAATTATTTTGAGATTCACCCATGTCACTGTACATATTAAAGTTTGTTTCTTTTTATGGCTCAACAGTATTCCATGTATGAAAGTGAAAGTCGCTCAGTCGTGTCCGACTCTTTGTGACCCCATGGACTATACAGTCCACAGACTTCTCCAGGCCAGAATACTGGAGTGGGTAACTTTTCCCTTCTCCAGGGGATCTTGCCAACCCAGGGATTAAACCCAGGTCTCCTGCCTTGCAGGTGGATTCTTTACCAGCTGAGCCAACAGCAAAGCACTGCATGTACAGATGCCCCACATTTTGTTTATTTGTTTATATGCTGATGGACATTTCCCTCCTTTGGTATCTTTTTTTTTTTTTTCCTTTTTAAGGAATAGTGGTGCCTTCTCATGAAACCACCTACTTACTTGAACCTTGGAGGCTCCATTGGATCTTTCTGCATTTCCACCATCCGAATAACTCTCTGTTTAGCGCCAGAGTTGAAAGCCACTCCTTGTTGAGACGGTGTGTATCTAAGGAACGTAGATGAAACTAAATGTATAACTAACTGAAATTTTCAACAGGTATTTTACTTCTATTACAATCCTAAGCTGGACTACATTGTCAGTTTCTCTCACAAAGCAGTAATAGAAAACTGCAGTAATATTTAGGCAGAGCAGATAGTAACAGAGGTAAGAGAACTAACAGCAACTCAGAATTATAAGCAGAATGTAAACTAGAGTTGTATTAGTTTGCAAATTATCCATCACAGTCCATTTTGAACCATGCTAATAAGCACAGTGTTCAATTTCATTAAGTGAGAGGTCTAGAAAACAGCACTTATTTTGTAAGTCTGCATTTGAGGAAAAAATAATATAATATCCTCAGTAAGCAACTTAAAATTAGTAGTTTCTGAATAACCATAGGCTATAAAACAGAAAGAATAATGGCAGCAGCCCTACCAGCTCTGAATTTTTTCTTAATATCTATATGTGAATTATCTTTCCACATAGATTTAGTTGAGTGAAACTCCTCAAAATTTAGAAGTATTATAAGGATGGCCATTATTATATAAATGATATTATTATTAATATTTATAGCATATATCAAATAATTATAGTAGTGTTATATTATACAATATTTCCAATATATTAATGGTATTATATAGATATTATACACATGTAATTTTAAAATGGAAAACTAAAATCACTGGTTTACATCATATACTCTGTATAACTGTTAATTTCTATAAGTAAAAAAAAAATGTTTAATAGCATAACAGCTAATATCTTAAAAACCTCTGCTTACCATTTGCACTAAGAATCAACAGACTTCAAGTAATTACTCAAAAACCTGCATTTACCATTGTAACTAAGGATAGTGACAGAACACCAGGACCCCCACTCCAATCATTTCCGACAGGAAGCTAAAGCCTCTAGGCGTGATGTCATACCGGATGTACTGAGCAGGGGCCAGCTTATCAGCAGCTCGGACCGGCATGGCTGCAGCGACCTTCTGCGATACAGATTTTTCCAAGGCTACCCTTGTCTTTTCTGTTATCTGAAATAAGAAACGCCACAATGAGTGCTCTGAAAGTTAATGAACATGTAAAAACTCATCTAAAATAATTACATATATCAATTCCCAGTTACCTCTTTAATTGCTTCTTCATCAGGTCTTTGCAAGTCTGGGTCATCTGCATTCATGACTTCCTTGGGAACCAGGTCAGTGTACTTGCTATAAATGACCTAAAATGTTCAAACACAAGCAGGCTTAAGAAAAGCAAAGAATGAAGAGAAGCAACCTCATTAAGTCATTTCAGAAGTCAAAATGTCCTCTCAGCACACTTATAAATTTAGGACACAGATTTTGTCTTTTAGATTTTAAAACCAAGGAAGCTTAAAATATATACACAAATTGCTGCCCTGACTATAAAAGCTAATAATTTTCCTCTGACCTCATGCATTTAAATTATTTGAGATCTTCTAATCAAGTCAGTATCCAAATAAATTGTGCCAACAAAATCTTATGCATCAGTGATCCCTATTTTTGAGGCTCGCTAGGACTTGAAATTAATGATGATATAAATTGCCTAAAGCACTATTATCTTGGATTACAAGCTCATTGGAATTTAAGTCAGGTTAGTGAATAATTTCCAAATTCAGTGGGCCTAAAAAATTTCATTGACCTGGCCCTACTTATAATGTTTGTCTTTTATTGCATCATCTATATTCATAGATAAGAAAATGAACATATGCCATGGTCAAAAAACCCAGAACACATTCTTCCAAGAAAAAAAAAAAATCTATACACACACCTTATTTCACACTTATTTAGGACTGTTTTCTGATCGGTAGGACTCTGCCAAATAGAATATTACCGACTTTCATGCTCATGTATACTTCTTGAATACTTCCATAATAACCTACATGGCAGATTTTATAGAAAATAGAGGTACTGGAAATTTAACAAATAAGCTGCATTCTAGATTCTGATGCTTGAGTTAAGCATTCTTTAACATACATACAGAGAAAGGACAACTTAACAACTTGCTTTCCCCCAATTCTGGGCCTTTATAGAATACTGCTCCTGGTTCTTCAACTGGATTCTCAACCTGAGTCTTTATTCAAAGGTCACACATGCAAGGGTGAGGCCTCCTACGACTACCTGTGCTACAGGAGCAATTCCTCCCAATCCAATCATTTGCTGTCACAACTCTGTTTGCTCTCTTCAAAGCACTGCTCACAGTATGAAATCATCTATTTTAAATCTTTGTCTTCACCATTAAAGCAATAACAAAACAGCTAACACTTACTAAGCACGTATTTTGTGCCACTGTTCTTCTGTTTTATATATATATACATAAACAAATTTAACTTTTTGTATCAACCCTATGAGGTGTGCACAATGATTATACCTATATCACTGATGAGGAATCTCTTATTCATTAAAGTATCTCCAGTGCTTATAACAATGCCTGGTCCACAGGAGGCTTTCAGTCAATAGTTTTCGTAAAAATGAATGAAGGTATGACTTTTACAGATACTCTATTCTATGTTAAAGGTGTATGTATACATGTTGGGATTGCAGAATGTTTTATTTAAGCTTGATTTCCTGGAAAAACTACATGATGGATATAGGCCAAAATCTCTAGCTTGTTTTTCTCAGGAATGAGAAAAGGGAGCAGGTAAGAAATACAGATACTTTACCACAAAACATGTTTACTGATATGGGAGCTACTAGTGTCACCATTGGAGAAGGAAATGGCAATCCACTCCAGTGTTCTTGCCTAGAGAATCCTGTGGACAGAGGAGCCTGGTGGGCTACCGTCTATGGGGTTGCAAAGTCAGACACAGCTGAAGCAACTTAGCAGCAGCAGTGTCACCATCCTCTCAGAGTGTTCATTTTGGAAGGTGCTCTGAAGCTCACTCTAGTGAGAAAAGCAAGGCTCAGTGTGTTAAGATCACATAGTCAGTAACTGACCTCAAAATCTAACACCTTTTCAGGATGGAAAAAATATATATATTAAGAATTAAAAGTTATATAATAATCTCTGGAAAATACTACCAAAACTATGAAGAGTTAACTACTTTTATACAGCAATCATTACAGGAAAGGATTTGAAGTAAATGGCTCCCTCATAGTCATACATGCTCAACATAAAGTCTCAATACTAATTTAGCATACAAGAGCCATTTACTACTTCTTATTTGGATATTCCAAAGTTAATAACCCTTTAAATGAGCATCAATAAGATTCTAGCATCTCACAAAGCTGAGTGAAGGACATTTGAAGAGTGAGATTCCTCCAAGGTAATTAACTATAAAACCCCAAATTTTTATTGCTTGAGAACCAAATGTGCTGAAGAAACTAAGGGACTGGGGTGGATTATCTGAAAAATACAATATATTTTTGAAGGTATCAGGAGCACAAATGAGCTCTGTGAAAAAGATAAAGTAGTAACTCATCTGTGAAACAGAATTTTTTTATGACTGAAAACTGGCAAAAGACTGGATTGACTAAAAGGATAAGCCTGTCAACATATCTACCGTTTCAGAGGTAGAAAGAAAACACTATCTTTTGGTTATATCAAAACACTATAGTTTGTGATATATCATGAACAAGGTAACACCATAAAATTTATCTTAGGGTTAAAGTTTGGAGGTTTTTCTTCAGGTGGGAAGGGTTGAAGGCATTCTTCTAGGTAACCTCATATATGTAACATTTCCTATGTAGCTATTTCAGATGGAAAAATGTAAACACTTTTTAAGATTTGCTACTGAAGTCACCATTGGACAAAAAAAGGATTTAGTTCTATTGACATTATATTTTTTCTCTTACCCAATTTTGTATTACCATTAAGTCTTATACACAGTACTTACATTTAGAGAGATCAATGACCTTAGACTTCCCCTAGAATATGATCCCTTGGAACCTTGCCTTGTTCACCTCTTATACCTAGAGCTAGCATTTTCCATTCTTTTTTTCTGGCCACACCACATGGCACATGGGATCTTAGTTCCCTGAACAGGGATGGAACCTCACTCCCTACAGTGGAACTTCAGAGTCTTAAAACACTGAACCGCCAGGGAAGTCCCAAGCATTTTCCATTCTTGCTCTTTCACTATTAATATTTCAGTGAAAAGTCCCTGGTTTCTGAAGAATACCAGATCCCTCTGACACAAATCAGAAATCACTACAATACAGTACAAATTCAATAATCCAGTAAACCTTTTCATCCAAGGTCAAGGACCCTGCATATCAGCATCCTGGATAATGAATTTTTAAAAAATCTTATCTTGTACATTTAGTAGCCAGTTCCTATCACCACAGGAAAACCAGTGGTTTTCACACAGGGCAATGCAAACAGCTCCAACTCCCGTCCCAGGGTCTTTGAAAACATGTCAGGTGTTCCTGGTTAAAACAATGGCGGAGATGCAGGTGAGGCACTATTGCCATTTAATAGATAGTGCCAGTGATGTTAAACATAATTCAACACGCAAGACAGTCCCCAACAGTCAAGAAGTGTCCCCCTCCTACAAATATCAGTGCACAGTTAATGCTGAAATTAAATCCATTCAAAAACTTTATACATTAATCCATCTACTTAAAAAATCCATCATACAGCCCCCATCCAAGTAGTCACTCCATTCAGCATCTTTCTATTCAATTCAGTGAGTGACCCAGTCTTCTTTTTTTTAATCTTCATTGTGGTTACTTACTATTATTATTTAAAAGCAGTTTTCAGAGCAGTTTTAGGTTCACAGCAACATTAAGAGGATGTAGAGAAATTTCCTACATACCACCCGCTCCTACACATGGATAGTTACCCCATTTGAGTTAGGGTTAGTATGAACCTGAGAGTGGTACCCCTATAAACTACTAGCCTAGGGTTCATTTCCAGTGGGTTCACTATAGACAGACATGTCAAGGCTTTAGCTGTATAAGGAAAAATACTTTGGAGACCGTATTTGGCCAGAATACTGAAACCTAAAAATAAACAGTTCAGTTTTAACATTTCTACTCTACTTTCAATACAAAAGAATCACTAATATACATTTTAAATGGGCTAAAAGTACATTTCATTCAAAATTACACAATCTGTCAATGCCAAATTATTGTACTAAAATGTTGCTTTTTCCTAATAAATAAGAGGAAAGGTAGCACATATCAGTAAAGAATTGTCACCATTCCAAAGAAAGAGCAAGGCATCAAAACAAAGGCAAATAAAGGCCTTTTGGCACAGGATGAATTCCCAGGATGTGCTCTGCATGTACAGGGACCTATTTTCCCTTTGTAGGTAGGAATGGACTGTGCTGCCTTAGTGGCTTCACTCAGTTGTGTCTGATTCTTTGCGACCCCATGGGCTGTAGCCTGCCAGGCTTCTCTGTTCATGGAATTCTCCAGGCAAGAATACTGGAGTGGGTTGCCATTTCCTTTTCCAGGGGATCTTCCCGACCCAGGAGTTGAATCTGGGTCTCCCACATTGCAGGCAGATTCTTTACCATCTAAGCCACCAGGCAAAAGTAGTTTTCCGTTATTCAATATATACAGCTAAAATTCTTCCAACAAACACTTTGGAATGCCTGTGTGTCAAGATGTCAGGCACTAAGTTAGGCATCAAAGAGGATGTCAGGCACTAAGTTAGGCATCAAAGAGGAAAATAAAGACATAATCTCTGTACTCCAAGGAACTTATAATTAAATGTCATAGACCATTATTAGTGAATGGATAATTACAACAAGGTGATGACTGCTACTAAACATAGGAAACACAGAGAAAGGACACCCAATCCAGCCAGGGAGGATCAGAGAGATTACACTGGAATAGAAGAGTGAGTTGAAAGCAAGAGAATTTAGTCATAAAAAAGAACAGGGAGAGGACTTTCCCTAGCATGAGAGGGCACACAGGGAAGTTCCCAAGGTAAAAATGTGTCATAACGGGCGAACTGCGAGAAGTTCCTTATAGCAGACATATTACAAGGAATGCCTGAAAGTTTCTTCTTCTATAACAACAACCTGTAATGTTGATAATTTTGTACTGAAAATAGAATGGCTAAAACTGGACTTTTAATTTCTGGATTTCAATATCCTGGTCATGAAAATTGATGCTAGGCTAGAAAGGTAAGCAAGAGGTCAAGGGTGTCCTTAGGTGCTTGGCTGGTTCTCATCCTAAAGATTATGGAAAGATTTTAAGTGTGCGCGCTTATGCTGCATTTGTGGTGGGGAGAGAGACAGAAAAACATGAACTACTGTTTTTTCATGCAGGTAAGACAAATGCCAAGGAGAGGGGTTCAGATTTTGCTGCAGTAAATTAAGCAAGAAAAGAAAAGGGTCCGAACTAAGTAGCAGAGAAGGAACCATACCTGAGAAATGTTAAAGAAATAAGATAAATCATGGTAACTAACAGGTTCAGAGTCTGAGGAAAATAAAATAAAATGAATGTTAGGCAAAGGCTTTTTAGAGAACATACTGGCATTATATGTCACATGTGAAATGTGAATATCCTCTGACCCAATACATATACTACTTAGAATTCATTTTATACAAATCTGTTGCTGTTGCTGTTGTTTAGTCATATCTGACTCTCTTGTGACCCCGTGGGTTGCTGCCCACCAGGATCCTCTGTCCAGGCAAGAATACTGGAGTGGGTTGGCATTTCCTTCTTCAGGGGCTCTTCCCAACACAGGGATGGAACCTGCATCTCCTGCACTGACAGGTGGATTCTATACCCCTGTGCCATCAGGGAAGCTGTTATGCAAAACATTGATGTGCAAAAAGATGGTCATATATGGATCCTGACTAAAGCACTGCTTGCAAAAGTAAAAAACTGAAAATTTTCAATGTTTAAAAACAATTAGGGCACAAGGCCACCATGAAAATCTATGTAGATTTTTCTTAATGAAGTAGACCTCTATGTACTAATAAAAATCTTTGAAAATTAAGAAAAAAAAATCAAGTCTATGGGAGTTATGAGAATTAAAATCTCATTTATTTAAAAAAAGATATGTTTGTGTGTATGTGTATATATATAAAGTGGGAATACATGTAAAGGTGAAGTTACAAAGGAAAGGGGAAGAGATGAGATCTAGGATACACTACAATACACTTGGCAAGATTAGGTTTAGATAGGAGGAGATTTGTTATAGAGACAAAAGGAACAGTCAAGACAAAAAGGCAAGTGCAAGATAAAGAAAGCCAACAATTTTCTTCCAACAGTCTTATCTGCAAATAGATGGGGAGTCACCTGTTAAACTGAGAGAGGATGGAGAAGAGTAGGAGTTAAGCTTGGAGGAACATCAAGGGAGACCAGTTGAAATCTGAGATAAAAATCTGCATGACTGCATAATTGTTCTCCCCCTAAACTAGCAGCTATGATGGAGGAGCAAACAATGATATATCATTAGTGCTGTCTTAGAGAGTAAAATGAGAATGTCTGGGGGAGAGAGAAGAAGCAAAGGATAGGTACTGAAGGTTCTCAGGTACTGTCCCCAGTACATTCAATTCTAAAGAGATCTTTTATCTCTATTTGGAGTATTTATTTATAAGAAAAAAACTAGGTCTTAAAAAACAGTTTCTTGGCTCTGGGTGTGGCTGCTCTACGATGAGATTATTTTAAATAAATTTTATTTTTGGTCTTTGGATTACTTTGTAAGCAGGGACATCCTAAAATTATCACTTGCCAGTTTTGTACTTAAACAAGGAAGAAAGAAGCTTATGTGATTTATTCTATTCAAACGAACCATTAAAATAATTATGTGTATGTATTTTGGAAGAGAAATAGAAAATACTATAGACAAAACAAAATTTTGATTTTTTTAGGATGCCAGAATTGTAGATTTTTAAAAATTTACTATCACTTAAAAAAGCTAGTATTATAAATGCATTGTTTTTTATATATGATGCTATATGTCAATTATATCTCAATAAAACTGGAAGGGAAGCAAGAATTGTTTTTAAAATGTGAAACAAATACATGGAATCCCTAAGTATTTATATAAACTTATCAATTTGAGGAATTTCTAAGGAAAAAGTCACTGCTGTTATGAAGTCATATTATATTGTTCATACTGTTATGAAGTCATCTTCAGTTAGCCTAAGTATACTTCATTGTTACTTTTAACAGAAACTAAATGGCCAAAGATTTATCATTTTCACACAATTAAAAAAAAAAAACTTCTCACGCAATATTTATCCATGGGGGGAAAAAATCAATGAGAGGGTTACCTTGTCTTTTGACTGTCCTTGTCGAGCAATTGCATCATACTTAATTTTTCCTTCAGCATCCACCTGAATGGCCAATGCATTTGACATTTTTTTCTTTCGTCCCATATCCAGGGGATACTGGGCCACGTGGATCTCTGGAAAAGCCCCTCCATCTCCAAAATCCTATATAAATAAAGAGAAATAAGGAGAATGTTCCATAATAGTAATTTGAGATTTAAGGCACACCCTTTCGGCAAGTAACACAGAGCCCTTATCACGCTAGAGGCTGGAGAGACGGCAGTAACCGAGGCAGGGGTCCCTGACCTTGTGGAGGGTACATCTCAGGGTGCAAAGATATAAAAGGCCTAACTTTTGGCTGTGATAAACGCCCTGAAAGCAACAAAGGGGCTGGGAAGACAGGCTGTTTTTGACAGTGGGGTTGGGATAACCTTTGTGAAGAGGTGGTGTGAGGTAAAGCCTGAATGATGAGAAATCAGTCATGGGAAGATCTGAGGGAAGCATTTTTCCAGGCAGATTAAACAGCAAGTGTGAAGGCCCTGAACTCAGCATGTTCTAGGAAACGAGGTCCAGTAGGGCTGTAGCTTATTGAGGGCAGAGGTGCAAACACATAAGCGATTAAGTCTGTATGGGTAGACAACAAACATCAGATCATGAAATAGCTTCTAGATCATGGCAGGGATCTGGATTTTAAGTACACGGCAGGAAGAAATTAAGCAAAATGTTTAGTATAAGGAAAAGATTTTTCATTTTAGCATACATAATTTTCTTAGTGAAAGACAGGTCATGCTATAGTTAGAGCAGAAATATAAAGAATTGGGGAGTTCCCTGGTGGCTTAGTGGTTAGGATTCCAGGCTTTCACCACCATGGCCTGGGTTCAACCCCTGGTCAGGCAACTAAGATCCTGCAAGCTGTACAGCATAGCCAAAAAAAAAGAAAAAGTAGAGAATTATATTTCTTCTTCAGATTTTAGGAACATGATACTATTTATTCAGTGCTCCATGAGAAGCAAATAGGAAGCATCCAGAAATGAGTTTACCACATTTCTAATGATGATTATATATAATTATTTAGAAGACAGAATTAAGACTTCTAAAGGAAACAAGCTAAGTCTGTCAATGAAGTTTAAAATTACAAAAAAAGGTCTATCATTCAAGTTAACATATAAATATTACATTTAAAGTTTTATTAAATTAATATTTGCTTAGTACCTTATTAAAACTTAGAAAATATAATTCACACATATATTCTCGCAGTTCTTCAACACCTCATTTTTCATATGGAAAAAATAAGTTTAGAAAAGTTAAAAGTAATTTTTCCAAGGTCTCATGGATAGCTATGAGGACTGGAACCCACATCTTTTGACTCCAAAAGTCTTTTCATTTCCTACTAAACTGAAGTATCTTAGCTCAAGAAAGGGCTAGAAATCAGAGGAAAAACTATATTAATATTAATCATTTAGAGGGGATCTGATGAAAAAAATTTATGAAAATAGCCAGTTTTATATGTCCTTCTCCTTCAAGAAATATTCCACTAGAGCCTAGATATATGATTTTCTAGGTACAACATACTTACTTGCTAAAGAAAGGTTTGACATCTTTTAAAACAAATAATAGAGCTGAAGATGTTTTCTTGTAAATTAGGCAGAAAACAGTTAAAACATTCCCCAGAAAGGTCCTACCCAGGCCATCAATCTGACATATGCACAGATTTGCTAGAGTTCTTCAACTGTAACAAGCACTTCAGGACTGTAGATGTGGCATTATGCAGTTATTAAGCTTGCCAGAAAATCATAGCTTTTACTTTAAAAACTAGAACAAAATGCTTTCTTCCACAGAATATTCACTCTCCTCAAGAAGCATTCCCAGTATTTCCATTAGCTGGCCATTTTGGTTTGATTTTCAAATAAACTGGTTGGCTCCACCAGGATATAGGAATCCTACGATATCCTATGATAGCCATGTAAGCTTTTAAAAAACTAATAGTACTAAATGTCCTGATGTTGAAATGCAAGTAAGGATGTGATTTCTGCTGCATGTAGAAGATGCCTGCCACCCTCACTCTAATCTACTGAGAGGCCAAATGCAGAGTGTCTATAACCCCTTAAGAGACACTCAAGCCTTCTACTAGGTAATGGCAAGTACTTCCTTTTTGCTCCAGATATGACAGCATTACAGCCTCCCTGATAATCATTTATTTTGCTCTGCTTCTCACAAATTACATGATCAGTGAAAATAAAAGCAACAACAACAAAAATACCTTCAGACACCAGAATTAATAAAGATCAGAGTATAGCTGAGCAAAAACCAAAAGCAACAACAACAAAAATACCTTCAGACACCAGAATTAATAAAGATCAGAGTATAGTTGAGCAAAAACCAACCAAACAAAAAAACCCACCAGGGAATATGTTAGGAGAAGACATGATTTAGCTGGGTGTTCCTCTTCTAGGCTGTACAAAGAACATGGCAGGCAGGGACAATGACAAAGGAGAGAGGCTGAGAATACAGCTGCCTTTTTATAGGTGCTGAGCAACATATTTCAATCCAATGAATAATTAGTTCCATGAGCACCACTTGGAGGCATGTGAAAAAAAGTTTAGGACTTGACCCTTCCTATTTGTGAAGCAAAATTATAACCATGTAAAGACAGAACAAAACCAAGTAATAAAATTATAATAACTGAGTACAAACGAATACGCACAGAGATTTTTAACAGGACAAGTATATGGACAAGTATATCCCTTGGGAAGTGGAGAAGGAACATTTGCAGGACTCAGAATGAAAATAGGAAGGAGGAGAAGAAACAAGAAGAGGCCTTGGGGAGGCAAGGCTCAAGTCTCTGCATTTCTTCCTAGGTAAAAAAATGTGATAAAGCATGGGCATTCTGCCCCTGGAATTAGGGAAGGGTATATGCATTGAACTGATGTACAAGATCCCGAGTAATGAGGAGAATAAGTGCTGCTAACAAAGTTTGTTCTTTGCGATCAAGCTAGAGACATAAAAAGATCATTTCAGATTCCTCCTTCTCCCTCACTGCCTCTGAATTAATCATCAAATTCTGTCTCTTATACCTTCCCCCAAATTGATCTACGCTGTACATTCTCCTAATGAAGACAAGAAAACAGGAAGACAGCTTAGGATCTGTCCAGGGTCACACAAATAGTAAGGAACAAAGCTATAAGGAAAAAAAAATTAATTAAAAAAATCTTGTCAGTGTTCTATCCACTACACCTAACAGGAAAAAAATCAGAAAAACAAATGCTGCCAGAGTTTTCCCTGGAGGAGAGCTGTTTCTTCAGGGTGATGTGGCACTGTGCACATAGGGAAGCAGGAGGGAAAGGTATCTGAACATGAAACCATTCTTTTTCTCTCTTACTTCCCCATTATTTTCCATACACTATAAGCCCCAATTTATAAAGGGTATGTTAACTGCTTCTATACATGAGTTAACAGTTTGACATAAGAGACATACATTGGTATACCTCTCCGGTGATCAAAGCAGTGAGAATAAGCAAGAACAAAAAGCTCAATCTTCTGAGGGAAGTACATGTCTTGAGAGCTCACAACCAGAATCTTTATCACAATGGAACTCATAAGCAACAGTTCTAGGGTTTACATTTACTTTACAAAGGTGCTATAATAAATTTCAGCAAAACCGTTTACCTCTAATAATCGAGGTATCCAGCCTTTCCGGTAACCGTACGGGGGAGGCTCTCTTCGGGAGGAGACCAGTGAGGTCTGTCGTGATCTCTGGGATCGTGCCTTTTCTTCAGCCTCAAGCTGGTCCTGAGACAGCTGAGTAGGTGCAGGTAAAAAGCTAGAAACAAAGACAAAAAAAGTAAGAATTTTAAAAACTCTTACATTTTATCATTGCAATTTGGCCACCAAACACTATTTTCCTATAATATTTCTTCCTTTGAGCAAAAAAGCAAACTATCCAATGATTTATGGCAGGGTTAAATATTTGTTGCTTTATTATGCCTGGAAAAGAAATAAGTGCTCAGAGACATAACAGTAAAAATATCTGACCAGGATGCAGGCAACTAGTGCCCAGAATTAACAGATATTTCACATAATAAACCACTAGTTTTTATGCCTCCACACTTCTTTTCTTGTAACAAGTAAATTACTGAGGGGTCAACTCTCTACAATATGATTTTCTTAGTGTCTTTAATACCCCTCTTAAAAAAAAAATGGAACGCCTCACGAATTTCATATTCGCTTCATGTGTGTCATCCTTGTGCAGGGGCCATGCTAATTTTCTCCGTATTGTTCCAATTTTAGTACAAGTGCTGCTGAACCAAGTACTTTACTATTCTTATACTCCTTATTTTTAACTATTTTACCCTTATGCTTCCTACGTTCAACTATTTTAGCACCAATACAAAAAAATAAGTATTAGCACTGAAAGTAACAAAGAGGTGGATAAAAAAAGAAAGAAAACACAAGACGCATATTTACGTGCGATTTCCCAAGGGTATCTAGTTTTGAATGTAATTTAAAACTTAAGAGGTTTTAACCATTCTTAACTTTTAAGTATGATAAAAGTTATCAGAGATATACCAAAGTACCACAAAAGGATTCCAGTATGTAAATAATATACCCAATGGAAAAGTTAGGGTTCCTTTGTGATTCTCGGCTAGTAAGAATATTTGAATAAGCAGCAGAGCTGATTTATTAAAAAAATATTTATTGGTTGCTGGGGTGCTGGCACTGTGCTAGGTAGGAAAGGAGATGAACTGAGAAAGATACATGCATGCTGTAGAGAGAGATCAAAATCACACAAATCCGTAATTACCAATTGTACTGACTGATCAGAAAAAGTACAGAGTGTTTCGACAGTGTATGTCAGAAGAATCTAATCCAGTCTGGTGGGTCAGGTAATGTGATGGTAAGAACTCTGAGTTCAGAAGCTATCTATGCCACACACTAACCTGGATTAGTTGCTTACCTCTCTGAACTTCAGTTTTCTCATTTGTAATGATGGACCAAACGATTATCTACCTCTCAGAGCTGTTCTAAGTATTAAATGAAACCACCCATGAACAACGTGGCACAGAGTCAGGCTACCATTCAGTATGTTCCGTAAATATTTGATTGGAGCTATGCCACAATTCCCCCAGTGTAAGTTAGCTGCCCTTCACCTATGCTCTCACAAGACCCTCTGCGCACCACTACTACATCTGTCTTCCTGTACTGCGATCACTATCGATTTATCTTTCTCTCATTAGACTATAGGCAACTTGAGGGCAGGAATCACACTTTGTTTCTTTAATCCTTAACTCTTAAGGCATTGCCTAACTAGCTCACAATAGGGCCCTACTTAAATGATGGCTAGAGAAATAAATTCACTCTACCCTTTGCACTCATTATTTTTCGGTCACGATAAACTTACTGCCTTTCTTTCAACAAGTCATCTCTGTATCTTTACATTTGCTTTCCCACTGCCATAGGTATTCTATTTACTTATTAAGAAAACTCTTCATCAGATTTCTTTAGTGCTTACTTCTTAGAATTCCTGTCCCTACAGCTGTTACCTGACCAAAACAGTCCACCCTGCTCTTTGCATCACTCTCTATACCTTTATTTTACTCCTAGTACTTACTACCTGAAATTGTGTTATTGATTTATTTACTCCTACAGTCTGTCTTCCCTAGAATGTGAACTCTGAGGGTAAGAAGATTCCCTGACTGACTCAATAGCAACACTAGCTGACACACAGTAGACTTTCAACCCATGGGATCCAACACATGCAATTTACTGAGCAAATGAATGGATAAAAGGAGTCAAAACATTTTGGGCTTATACTATAGCTGTTTTCAGTAAACCATGTATACTAGCACATAAGAGGGACACAAAGTCAGAAACAAAGAAGCCAAAATATTTACTTAGGTTTCATTTCTCTTTTACCTTCTGTTGGAAGAACTAGTCACTAAAATGATCAAAAGGCAGGCAGCTTGCCAAGGCAGAGTTTGGACAATTTAGTAAACAGGTAATCTGGTCTGAATTATAATGAGAACACATCCTAGCCTTCCAGAGGGTCTTAATATTGTTGTTCCCTGTAAAGGATGACATTCCCAGGAGGTACTTTCCTAAGATAGGGGTGGGCTGCTTAAGTCTACCTCAGTATTTCTCAACTGGGGGCAAAATAACTACAATGCAGATATCTGACAACATCTGGAGACATTTTGTTATAACTTGTCAGGTAGAGGGAGAAGGGGTGGGGATGCCACTGGCAGCTACTGGGTACAAGCTAAGATACTCATGAACATCTTAATATGGGCAGAACAGCCCCATACAAGAATGAACTATCCAGCCAAAATGTCAATAGAGCCACTGTGGAGACATCTTAGTCTATCCTTTCCTTTTTACTCGTCTCTGCTGTTAAGAATTTCTGGGAGAACTTAAGAGATAACAACACTTCATCTGGAAACTTGAGACTCTCTATAGAAACTAAATCAGCTAAAACTCAGCAAAATCAGAAAGCTATGTAAGTCCCCAAGACAAGCTATTTAATGACTGCACTCTGCTATTGCAATAAGCACCCAATACCCACAAGATCTCTGGTATTTTTCCTCTGTGACCTTTTCAATTGCATCTTTTCCACAAAGCCTTTCCTCATAACACTACTAGTCTCTGTCATACTGCCTCCCACCTGGAGGGCACTCATTGGAATGTTTGCTGCCTGCAACACTTACTAAAGAAAATGCTCCAGTTCACTCAGCCCATTCCATCTAATTCTTTTTGCACTTCAGGCTAGTACTACATAATAAGCATTCTGTATTATTCTTTGTTTCATATCTGTAGGCCTTGTAATCCAATCTTTCCTGCTGCCAAAGACTATCAGATTTCCTTCTGTATACACACAAACCCTAGGACAGAGCAAGGCACCCAAAAGAAATCTCTCATCCAAGTATCTTTAGAGTTCATAACGGTCATCAGCCAAGACAAACGCGAACGAGGAGAATGAAGAGTGTCAGAGGAGCTGAGGCAGATGTCCTAACGCGATTCCTCTCTTTATCCTCTTGGGCACTCAACTTTTCCCGTTGCAGTTCGTTTGCGTGGAAAGTTTTCTACTTAGATGGGGCAGCAAGGTCGGAGTTACGTAACTCCTTGGAATCTCTTCCTTAAGCATCTTTTCCTTAAAGGCGGGGGCCACTTTAATCACATGCAGTTGCCAAGGCAACCGGGAACCGCAAAGATCGTACGCGGTTCTATCTATGGGAAGAAATTCTAAAAAGACCCAAAGTTAAAAGTGCGGAGCAGCGGCGTGAACTAGCAGACAGCGGCCACTACTGTAGCTTTTGATTTTAAATCTTCAGTACCGCTCCCCCCCGCCCCTTCCTTTTTTTCCAGGAGTCCTGGTTTCGGAGAGAAACATAAGAAAAGACTTCGGCAAACAAACAGCCAGGCAGTCGCTCGCTCCACTCCGCCCAAATAAGCCCCTGCCCTCCACACACCCCCATCGCGCCCACCGGAGCCGCGGACCAAAGGTGGAGCCCTCCAATCCCCAAGACGCTCAAACGAAAAACACGCACGACTCCCCGGTCTCTCAAGCCAGAGACCTATTGGCCACGCCGCGGCTTTCGGCCCTACTGAGGGGGCGAAGTCAACCCGTGAAGCCGCTGAGGAAAGACCCCAGCTTCGGCGAGGCCTAGCCGTCCCGGCGGCCGGCAGGAGGTCCCAGCCGTGGCCTCAGCCTACAGTTACCCTGTGGCCCGGGCCGGGTGACCGCCCGGAGAGTGTGGGCAAAGAAATGAAAAAGGTGGGTACTCCCAGACCGTTCCGTATCGAGGACCCAAATCAACAAACCCACCTGGTGAGCGCCATCTTCTTCCGCTTCTTCCAGCGCGAGCGACAGCACCACGGGGCGGGCCTTTCCCGGGCGGAGCGCTGTGGAAAGGAAGGAGCGCGCTGTGCGCAGGCGCCCTAGCCGAACGGCCTTCTGGGACTTGTAGTTCTTTGAGCAAGACTACAATTCGGTTCCATTCTCAGCCAGAGTTCTGGGATACACGCTTCAGTTAAGGAAAAGCAAAACGCGTCGTTCTTGCATGATAGAGCATTCCCTAAGCAAGATACTAACGAAGTTGAGATGGCTTTTAAGTCGCTTTATTTTCAGTTCAGTTCAGTCGCTTAGTCGTGTCCGACTCTTTGCGACCCCATGGACTGCAGCACACCAAGCTTCCCTGTCCATCACCAACTCCCAGAGCTTACTCAAACTCATGTCCGCGAGTCGGTGATGCCATCCAACCGTCTCATTCCCTATCCCTTTCTCCTCCCAACTTTAATCTTTCCCAGCATCAGGGTCTTTTCCAGTGAGTCAGTTCTTCACATAAGGTGGCCAAACCTTCAGCATCAGTCCTTCCAAAGAATATTCAGGACTGATTTCCTTTAGGATGGACTGGTTGGATCTACTTACAGTGCAAGGGACTCTCAAGAGTCTTCTTCAACACCACAGTTCAAAAGCACCAATGCTTTCTCACTCTGCTTTCTTTATAGTCCAACTCTTACATCCATACATGACTACTGGAAAAACCACAGCTTTGACTAGAGGAACGTTTGCCGGCAAAGTAATGTCTGCTTTTTATTTTTTATTTTTATTTTTGTCTGTCTGCTTTTTAATATGCTTGTCTAGGTTGGTCATAGCTTTTCTTCCAAGGAGCAAGCGTCTTTTAATTTCATGGCTGCAGTCACCATCTGCAGTGATTTTGGAGCCCAAGAAAATAAAGTCTGTCACTGTTTCCGTTGTTTCCCTATCTATTTGCCGTGAAGTGATGGGACTGGATTCCATGATCTTAGTTTTCTGAATGTTGAGTTTTAAGCCAACGTTTTTACTCTCCTCTTTCACTTTCATCAAAAGCCTCTTTAGTTTCTCTTCGCTTTCTGCACTAAAGGTGGTGTCATCTGCATATCTGAGGTTGTTGATATTTTTCCCGGCAATCTTGATTCTGTACTCTGCATATAAGTTAAATGAGTGAAATTGTGCAGTATTATTAATAGTATTAAATTGTGCACTTTATTTTACTCCCCATTTAATCTAATTTCCTTTGTTGTGGTCCCAAATGTAGAAGACATTTGCATTCCAAAATGGGGGCAACATTCCCAAATGGGGGCGACAACGTTAAATGAAAGGATTGACAGGTTAAATAAAGGAGTTGATGAGTTAAATAAAAGGGAGACCTGGGGGAGATCTAGGTTCAGTCCCTGAGTTGGGAAGATCCCCTGGAGAAGGGAAAGGCTACCCACTGCAGTATTCTGGCCTGGAGAATTCCATGGACTGTATAGTCCATGGGGTCTATACAGTTTATAGATAAATACAGTCCAGAGAATTTCATGGACTATTGGCAATGGGGTCGCAAAGAGTCAGACACAACTGAGCGATCAGAACACATAAACATGTTTCTTCACTTTGCTTTTTCCACTTGTTAATATATCTAGGAAATCATTCCTTTGCAGCATATAGAGATTACACTGGAGGTTCTGAGCAGAGAATAAACTTGGTCTGACTTATGTTTTAAGAAGATCATTATGGCTGCTATATTATGAATGGATTCCAAGAAGCAAGGAAGGAAATGGGGAGACCAGTGGGTAACTTTTAAGATAATTTGGGGAGAGATGCTGATAGCTTAGGCAGGGAGTTAGTAATGGATATGATAAGGCGAAGTTGGAATCTGGACCTATTTTGAAGGTATAAACAACAAATTTTGATGGTGGAATTGATGTGAGGTATGAAAGAGAGTAATCAGGGATGACTCCAACTAGGACAGAGTTGCCATTTACTGAGATGGGAAAACAGAGAGGGCCACGTTTGTGGGGGAAGATCAGAATTGGGCTTTGAATGTGTTACATTTGAAATGCCTTGTTAGATATCCAAGTAAAAGTATAAAATAAGCAAATTCATATACAAGTTTTTAGTGTGGGGGTAGTGATCAAGGCTGGAGACCTTTGAAGACAGATAGTATTTACATTCGTGATACCAAATGAGATTACTAATGGAGTGAGTGTAGGTGCAGAAGAAAAGTGGTCCAAGGACAGACGTCTGGAGTTTAGAAGTTCGGGATATGAGAGGAATCAGTAAAGGAAACAGAATTGCTAGAGGTTTGATCAATGGAGTTAGGAGAGAAAGCATGTTTTTCATTTGGATCAGATGCTATACAGGTGTAGGCCTGAGTTACCAGTATCTATCTTTCCTGGGGGCTTCCCAGGTAGCTCAGTGGTAAAGAATCCACCTGCCAATGCAGGAGACGCAGGTTCCATCCCTGGGTCTGGAAAATCCCCTGGAGAAGGAACGGGCAATCCACTCCAGTATTCTTGCCTAGGAAACCCCATGGACAGAGGAGCCTGGAGGGCTGTAGCCCATGGGGTCGTAAAGAGTCGGACACGACTAAGCATGCATGCATGCACAGCATCTTTCCTGGCATAAGGCGAGAGCCTGTGGCAGGGAAAAATGAAGGCACCATGCAAGATAAAGAGACCAGAGGATAAAGAGAGGGAGAGTGAGAGGCTGATGAAGTTGAGACCTCTGACAACATCATGGGAGTTCTTGGATACAGCAGTGCCTGAAGACCACACTGCCTTGAATTTTTTTTAACCAAGTGAGCCAATAAATTATTTTGTTGCTTTCAACTAGTTTATGTTTATGATCATTTGCAACAAAAAGGAATTTATGCAATGGTTATTTTCTGTGCTCCCATAATTCTTGTTCTTCCCCTAGTCTTAACATTTATCACATTTCATAAATTTCAATGGGTTATGTGACTTCTAGGGAGATTGAATCTCTCACCATTCACTTGTGCCCAAACAATTTTGGGCAAGTCCTCAACCCTCACTGGATTTCAGATTTACCTGTAAAAGGACAGCATGGGCCTAGGTAACATCAAATATCCCTTCTAGTGTTGACATCTGTTGATTCTAGGCACTTTTCTCTAGGTTTTAAACTTCTAGATAGAGAGATTTAAAAAGAGATTTAAAAATATGTCATTTCAGAGATCTAGTGGTACATACAACAACTTAGATGAATCTCAAAAGCATCATGATGAGTGAAAGAAGCCAGTCTCAAAAGATTATTATGTGATTTTATTTATGACATTCTTTTTTTAAAAAAAAAAAACCTTTTAAAAATGTATTTATTATTTTTGGCTGCCCTGGGTCTTTGTTGCTGCATGCAGGCTTTCTCCAGCTGAGGCAAGCAGGACCTACTTTCCATTGCTGTGTTTGGGCTGCTCACTGTGGTGGCTTCCCTTGCTGTGGAGTGCGGGCTCTGGATGCTAAGGCTTCAGTAGTTGTGGCGCTTGGGTTTAGTTGCCCCACTGCATGTGGGATCTTTTCAGTCTAGGGATCTAACCCATGTCCCTTGATTGGCAGGCGGACTCTCAACTAGTGGACCACCAGGGAAGTCCCTATTTATGACATTCTTGAAAAGAGAAAATAGTGACAGACTACAGATCAATGGTTGCCACATATGAGGGGTAGGGGAAACACGTGACCACTGCAAAGCAACATTGGGGGTGATGGAATTGTCCTATATCCTCACTGTGATGGTGATTATACACAACTATGCATGTGCTAAAATTCATAGAACTGTACCCCCCCCAAAAAAAAACAATCAGTTTTACTGTAGGACAATTAAAAACATAAAATTAAAAAAAAAAATGCCTGGTCTAGTTCTTACCACTGAACTGTGAGAAGGACCTCCTTAGCCTCATTCAGCATCAGCAACGTTTACTTTATACTTGTTGAGATTCAGAGCACCTCTTGGGTTCCTAGGGCCATAAAAGTGGTTTCATAAAATGTGTATTTTTTAAGAAGAGTAAGGGCTCCGTGGTAAAGAACCCGCCTGCCAATGCAGGAGATGAGGGTTTGATCCCTGGGTTGGGAAGATTCCCCTGGTGGGGAGGGAAACGACAACCTACTCCAGTATTCTTGCCTAGGAAATCCTATGGATTTGGCAGGCTACAGCCCATGGGGGTCACAAAAAGATCAGATACAAGTTAGCAGCTAAACAACAACAAGGGGAATATTAGATGCATTTGTTTTCTATTGCCGTATAACACACTGTCACAGACTTAGTGGCTTGAAACAGCACTAAGGTTGAAACAGCACTCTGAGCTCACATCTCTTAGGTCAGAAGGCTGGCAGAGCACGCATGGGTTCTCTGCTCAGGGTATCGTAAAGCTGAAATCACAGTGTTGGCCTGGATACTCATCAGGCTGAGGCTCTGAAGAAAAATCCATTTCCAAGCTCATTCTAGCTGTTGCAGTTGCCAGGCCGAGGTCCCTGTCTCATTGTGTGCCATTGAGGAGGACCACCCTCACTTCCTGCATGCCACCCTCAGGTCCTTCCCACGTGACCCTTGCTAAGTTCACAGGAGCGCTGTTTGCCTTCTTCCAGGCCAGATGCAGCACATCTCTCTGACTTTCTCTTCTGCTATTGGCCAGAGAAAATTCTTCTGTTTTTATAGGGCTCATAGATTAGGTCAGGCCCACCCAGATAATGTTATTTTAAAATCAACTTGTAACATAGCACAATCACAGGACTGATGTCTCATCATAGTCACAGCTCCAGGGCTATTGCAGGGTGTGTACAAGGAGCAGGGCTGGGGAGAGGATCATGGGAGAGATCTTAGAATTCTGTCTGAGGATAAAAGCCAAAAGAAAAAAAAAATTTGGTAAATGCTGGATCTTTGATCATAGTGTATAATGTACCAAGCATGACCTGGAATCTGAAAATATAAATTCAAGCTATAGCTTCACCAGTAAGCTATCTATCATGGTCAAGATACTTAAATTCTTTGGCCCCCAGTTTAATCAAATTTAAAATGCTGATCTTGTTACCTGCTTTATATATCTATCATAGAGTGATTGAGGTAATGTAGGTGAATATATTTTACTCAA